ATCTGTATTCACACACTTAAATTGATCATCTGTATAATATTCACAATCACTAACTATATTATAGAGATGACTATCTGGATCTATTTCACTACCAAATTCATTCGTTCTGTAGCCATTGTTGTTCTCCTGCATACAGAACTGGATACTATTTAGTGTTTTATGCAGTTCACAATTCACACCGGCCATTTCATGGTTTTCTTGATTTAATAATGTACTACTTGATTCACTTTCATTTGTCATCATGGTTTAAGTCTAATTTTTGTCCCTTTTTCTTCCCCTTTCCCTCTCTCTTGCGCACGCACACACACACACACACACACAACTACTAATGACAACATCAGCAATAGTAATACAAAAAAAAAAAAAACTTAAATATAGTATTCTTATTATACTTGTTATTGTCCTCAGTGCTAGACATCTATATGTCATAATTGTCCATGAAGAAGGAGAAAAATATATATATATATCGTCTCTGCTTGCACAGCAAGAAAAAAATAATTTCAGCATGTCAAAAAAGACTCCTTGGCTCCTCAAAAAATATAACAAAAACAAAACAAAAACATTCCTAGCTGAGAAATACATTATTTGATTATTTGAACTTCTCAAGGTCTCCAAGTTCTCTTACCAGTATAACTTTTGCAGTCTCCGGTGAAGATCCATTCAGTTGAATGAATACTTTGCAGTTTCTGGTCCACGTTGCTCTTATCTTGTTGTTTTTCTTCAGAAACCGTGCTTCACGTGCAATATCAGACGTCTTCTTGGTCAGGTGCTCATTTAGGTATACATTGGATCCTTTCAACTTTCTTCCTTGTCTCAGTAGCTCGGTTTTGTGTTTCCTGTTAACAAAGCGCATAATGATTGCAGGCTTTGTTTTATCCCTGCGTGGCAGTGTATGACATGCAGAAATGTTGTTCGCATCCAAATGTATATCTTTGTCTCTTAGAAATTGCACAACTTGGTCCTCCAAAGTTTGCATATCTTCTCTTTCTGCGTTCTCGTCAACATTCCTCCCTGTCGCAGTTGCCCTCGCATACGAGCGCGGTTTGATGTCCAGGCCCGAGATGATTACGTCTTCCATCCTAGTGTACTGTTCCAGGTTCTCAACTCTCTTTTCGAGCTCTATTATGGTCTTATCTTTCTCTCGGATTGTCGCTTTCAGCTGCTTCACTTCCTCCACAAGCTCCGTTAGCTTCTCGAGTTGCCGGGTAACGCTAGCCAGGTCCCCAGACATGAAGTTTAGCGACTTACGAATCTCATCCATGTCGTTCTCCGTCGGTGGATTCTTCTTCGGAGGCATCGCCAATATAATAGTTTATGCCTCTTTTATTTGCCTTGTAGAAAACGCACGATTGTCAAGAAAAGTTTGTTTATATTTCACATCAACTTGTGGGCGCCGCCATGACAGTTCGACGCTTCTTCCTCTCTTTAGAATACAATTTTTTGATTCATTTATTTATTTTACCTAAAAACGTAATATAAGAAAGTGTGTATTCCCATGATATATTCTATATTCTTTATACTAGAGACTTTAAAGTAGTAACTGTAAGAGAATACAGTATACTGAATACTTAATTATATGTATTGCGTTACTCCCCAACAATGCTCGTCTGTGAGATGTTTTTGTTGCACCTCTGATGCCTGAGACTAAGTTCTGCATCTGGAAACAAAAAAGGCTTGTCGTATATCCTTCTAAAATAAAGCAAACATTCTGCGATCCTGTCCTCCAACTCACACCGAGAGAGAGAGGCTCATTGGAGGAAAGCAACGGGGTGACTGCTCTGTGCGGCTCCAGTCTTGGCATTTCGTCCCGGGAGACTGTCAGAGATAAATTAAGGTGATCGTTGACGGTCACAGTCAGGTTAAGGGTAAGAACAGTTCATGTGTTTAAGGTCAAGGACGATAAGGTGAGGTTAAGTTAATATATACAGTCTATGGGTTTAAGCAGCGCGCTTTCTGCAGGAGGAAATGCCCAGATTTGAGAGTCCCAGACACAGACAAACTTAAAGCTGGAATCCCCGAAGCCCGCGCAGCTCAGAGCTACAGCCGTGTCAGTGGTGAATAAAGGATGTTTAAAGCCTTGGACTTACCATGAACTGTCATTACATCGGTGTTGACGTTTCCCAAGAGGAGTCAGTGCAGCATAGGAATCACTATGCGCATGCGTGAGGATAGACGCGAACTACGGGAACAATGAATGGACAAATGCAGACTGTTCTTCAATGACAAATGAAATTGTTTAAAAAAAATGTTATTTAAACAATGTCATTTTTCTTTTTCATTTCTCATTTTTTAGTTTTAGATTTTAAATAAAGTCCAAATAGGTTTTGGATCAGATGTTGAAGCAGAAAATGAAGTATTTTTTCACTGAATTGAGCTGTATGGATGTAGTATTTTCCTGATATTAGTGTTAGATTAATATTCAGATTCAAACAGGAGAATTTTACATCATTCATTATGAAACTTTCGATTTGATTTTTTTCTAATTTTATATTCCAGCCAAATACTGTTGCAAATTGGACCTATTATAGGACATTCATCAACTAAGTTTTCAATACTTTCACAATCACGTCAACAAAAGGGACTTTGGCTACTTACATTAGGTAATATACAGCAAATAAGTTATTTTACAAGGTAATTTCTATGTACAGTTTTAAATAAAGAGTGCGTGTTTATAAGTGACAGCTGTGGACTTTCTTGCAGATTCGCTGCGAAAGAAAAGTCAGTCATTGGTCCAGAGGCAGATCACCAAAGTCTATAAACGTTGATAAAGTCCATAAATGTCTTAGAGTGTCCTGGATCATCACCACTGTCCTTAGACCCTCCTGCATCAACAAGGAACAACAACAAAAAACACAGATATATGCACATTTATCTATCTATTTATCTTCATAACAACCCAGTGATCATGGCATCAGTCACTAAAGTATCTAAATTATCTAAATCATCTGGTCACCTTTTCTAACTTGTTGTACTTGTGCCTTTGTGTGCTTATGTGTCCTAGTTCTGTATTATTCCATTGAAATATGAACATTTGATTGCATTGAATTTGTGGGGTCGGGGTGCTTATAAGATTATGTGGCCATATTGTTTGCCTTGCACATAAATAGAAACAAGATAAAAATGTGTTTTCATTGAATCATATTTGATGTGAGATAAACTCTGCTTTCATACAGTACGTGCATTTGTGCTTCTAATGAGCCCTGTTAATGTCAGCTCTGCACAGTGTTGTACTTCCAGACCATGTTATCTGTTTCAAAGTCTATAAAATAACAATCCTTTACATAATAATATTGTATACTTCCATGTTTTGCAAATGGTTCCTCTGATATTCCAATCAGGTGGTGTTGCCATCTTGTGTTTTAAAATGTACTTTTTTATAAAATCGTTGTCTTATTTTTATCCAATCTGTCCTGTCTTAGTATTGTCACATACATTTATATGGATCATGGTTATTGCCTCTTTATTTTGATGTATGTACATGAACAACATGCCACTATCTTTTTTGAGATTGACGTGTGGCAAACTTGATGATTGAATCCAGCAACAAAGTCCAAATAAGACATGTTATACAAAGCCACCTGGGCCCCGGGTGCAGCAGCCTGAAGGCCTCTAAGTAAATGCTCTTCTCCTACATCGATGACTACACACAGCCTGCTCACCTGCAGTCCGCCCTCATGCTCTCAGGTTCAACAACCGATGGAAAGTGTCAACTGACCAAAGGACAGGCAACACATTTACAGTCCGTGTTTCCTTTTCTAAAATAGAAAATAAAAAAGTACTGTAATATTCAACATAAACTAAACGAATGTAGCTGTATTGACCCTTGCCAATATCCAAACAGTTATTCAAATCAATATCCAAACAGCCCACAACCTGGGCCCATTTAAACGCAGAGCTTCTAAAGTTCACTCCCAAAAACAAACTCAATTATGCAAATGACTTACAGGAATTGACACTACCCAACACGATGTCAAGACTTTGCATTTTCTCCAGATGCCAATTTCTGGACCCAAATCCGCAACATTTACTTTATGGCCAAAAACTCAAACATACAACTCAAAGTCCTCCATAGATACCACTACAGAGACCGCTAACTTTTAAAAATGGGTTTCAGCACTTGCTCGCATTGCACAAAAATAGTGCTGATAACATTAATATAGATATGGATGTTAATAGCAATAATGAGAAACTCAAGAGGGCAAGTGGAGAGGTCCAACGCACCACTAGAACAGGACACAATGTAGTGCAAGTATTGACAGTCATAATGGATTCATTTTTTGTGCTGTTACTTGTTTTGTCATTGTAACCTTTTGGTGGGATATGCATGTATGTGTTCATGTATATGCAGAGAGCCAATATTGCATATTAATGAAATATTAATTCATACATTTTCAATCATACACCCATTAACCATTCCCACCATTACAAATACCTTTATTCCCTTTCAGATTTGGATCAGCCACTCGCACGTGCACACACAAACTCTTTATCGTGCCTTTCTTACCCACTTTCCTAGCTTATTGTATTGTAACCAACACTGTACATTATCAGTAGTCTGTATTGTTCCCTGTAGGCTCCTCACTTAAATAAATAAACCTTCTATTCCTAAATTTACCACAATTAAGGATTTACTGACAACAAATAATGTGAAACCTTTGGTTTGCATGTTAACTCATGTGTACCGAGAAATGAAACCTGGCTTGGAAAAAATCACACATTTATTTAAAAAAAACAAAATTTTAAAGTGCACCAATAAAATTATTTACAAAGTGTCTTGGTGAAGAGTGTCTTGGTGAAGTGTCAGTTTCGGCGGCCACTCATGGCTTCCACCAGCTGGCCCAGGAGACCAAGAAATGATTGGTTAAATGCAGCCGCCTGTGCATTTTCCTCCCTCCTCAATGTCGCTTCCAACTCTTGCGACTCTCTGACGAGCTGGAGTTGCTGTGTCCGGTTCAGCTCCTGCTGCACCACATCTTCAGCTTGGATCTGCCTCATCATTTCTACAGTCTCCGTCTGGAAGAGCGCCCTTTTTCTCTTCCCTGTACAACAATAAAAAAAGTATTAACAGTTGGTAATTATCCAAAGCAGTGACATTTCTGGAGACATACTTTTATGTAGGCAAAAAGATTATTACGTTTCAGACCAGTATATATCACACTACCCGAGATTTTGCAACAACTACCCTTTCAAAGAGGAAAAACCTCCACTTAAAGTGTTACGTGTGGGATCATTTGACTTAATTGCAAATCGGGTAATGTTTGTATGTCAAGTATCACGCTTTGTCAATAAACAATATTTAATGGTCAATGTTTAGGCATTTTAGGACAAAGCATGAGCATGACTTAAATACACCCAGATTAATCAAATCAGTCAGTGCAGCTAAAATTACATTTTGCTGCATTTCTTTTTCACACCAAAGTGAAGTGGTATTGTATCACAAATTAGATTTTTTATTTGGAAAAAGATCACTGACAGGTGGTCCGAATCCTTTTTTATTGACATTCTCTAAAGCTAGGGTGATAGTGTCCAAACTATGCATTAATTGGACATACTTCACCGAGTTGAATGCAATTACTTCTGAGATCCACCAGGTGTCGGTATAGAGCTGCACTGTTGCGGCACAGTATCAATGTAGTTGTATTATTTTTTTTTTGCTGCTATAGGACATGAATTTCTCCCAGGGTGATGAATAAAATATCTATCGATCATGTATTATGTTTGCCTTACCCGTGACCACACGCTGTGCGCTGCTAGACGTGTCGCTCGCTATCGAAGGGAACGCATCAGGCGTCGAAGCAGCAGCTGGTTCTGGAGGGATTGGAGACGGGGACCTTGGGGGGTCGTTCGACGCTTCACTTGCGACAAGGGATTCTATAATAAGACAAACACACACAACGACTTAAGTAAAAGCACAAAACTGAATGGCAACACGTGAAATGGCAAGATGTAGCACGTGTTAGCAGCTTGCTATCGATAGCTTAAAGTAGCTAGCTCACTTTGTACAGCAGACAACAATCAAACGTTTACATGAATAAATACATTCCAGTGGGCATTGAGCCACAGGTTACGTGATAATGCATTTTCACAATAACTACAGATAAAAGTTACAAAGCACTTACCATTATCGCCCATTCTCGACGTGGAAGAAGAGTCCAGAGCACACTCCCGTCCATTGTTTGCAGGCCTGTGGCCATAAATGGCATCCATCTCGGCATACCACCTCCAGGTCTTCCGATTGACCCCACTTCGGCCGTTGTGGTCCGTTATGGCCCGGTAATCGCACTTCATCTTCTTAATCTTGTCCCTGCACTGCTGATGCGTACGGTGGTAACCGTGTGTTAGCAAGAGCTGGGCGATCTCTTTATAGACCTTCTCATTTCGCGTACTGCCATCGAGCTCCTTCTGTATTCTGTCTTCGGCCAGTAAAGACAGAAATGTTTGGACCTCATCAACAGACCACGGTGTGGACTTTTGCGGCTTGCTGGATTCCATTTCTCGAGTGCAGTGCGTATGCTCACAGGGCAGTTTTAAAAATGGCGGGGTTGAATCTTGTCTCTCAATACGGTCAGACGTCGCACTTATGACGCTACCAGTGACGACAGTCGTTGGCCAATAGTGTGAGAGAGCCGTTGGCCAATAGCGTAGGCAGTCTGCTTACGTCACGAGCGTGTAGCTTTTTGGAACCGCTCCAGAGGCGGTCCGAAAATAGAACACAATACCTAGCTTCAACGCTAGTGGAAATGCAAAAGTAACGCGCCGTGTCGTGTAGAGTGGTGTAGTGCCGGTGCTGTGGAAAAGCGCCATAACACTGTACCAAAGACCAGAAACTTTTACTGTAGAAATATTGAGAAATATTGATTTAAACTAGCCCTTTTGGTCCAAAATAGCCTAAAAATTGTCAAAACATGTCACTTTTGATCTACTGTAACTTTTTACTGTAAAAAGGTGTGCGACTAATTTCACTGGATTCATGACCTGATGATTGACCTCTACCACTGTACCAAAGACCAGAAACATTTACTTTAGAAATATTGAGAAATATTGATTTAAAGTAGCCATTTTGGTCCAAAATACCTCCAAAATAGTCAAAACATGTCACTTTTGATCTACTGTAACTTCTTACTGTAAAAAGGTGTGCGACTAATTTCACTGGATTCATGACCTCATGTTTGCCCTCTACCACTGTACCAAAGACAAGAAATATTTACTGTAGAAATATTGAGAAATATTGATTTAAAATAGCCATTTTGGTCCAAAATACCTCCAACATACTCCAACATAGTCAAAACATGTCACATTTGATCTACTGTAACTTTTTACTGTAAAAAGGTGTGCAACTAATTTCACTGGATTCATGACCTCATGATTGCCCTCTAACACTGTACCAAAGACCAGAAACTTTTACTGTAGACATATTGAGAAATATTGATATAAACTAGCCCTTTTGGTCCAAAATACCTCCAACATAGTCAAAACATGTCACATTTGATCTACTGTAACTTTTTACTGTAAAAAGGTGTGCGACTAATTTCACTGGATTCATGACCTCATGATTGCCCTCTAACACTGTACCAAAGACCAGAAACTTTTACTGTAGAAATATTGAGAAATATTGATTTAAACTAGCCCTTTTGGTCCAAAATAGCCTAAAAATTGTCAAAACATGTCACTTTTGATCTACTGTAACTTTTTACTGTAAAAAGGTGTGCGACTAATTTCACTGGATTCATGACCTCATGATTGTCCACTACCACTGTACCAAAGACCAGGAACTTTTACTGTAGAAATATTGAGAAATATTGATTTAAAGTAGCCATTTTGGTCCAAAATAGCCTAAAAATAGTCAAAACATGTCACTTTTCATCTACTGTAACTTTTTACTGTAAAAAGGTGTGCGACTAATTTCACTGGATTCATGACCTGATGATTGACCTCTACCACTGTACCAAAGACCAGAAACATTTACTTTAGAAATATTGAGAAATATTGATTTAAAGTAGCCATTTTGGTCCAAAATACCTCCAAAATAGTCAAAACATGTCACTTTTGATCTACTGTAACTTCTTACTGTAAAAAGGTGTGCGACTAATTTCACTGGATTCATGACCTCATGATTGTCCACTACCAGAGCTGTATTTGCATTGCCGGCAGGTGCAGGCTGCCCTTTTCCACGCTTCTGTTTACTGTCATAATGGACAGAATTTGTAGGTGCAGCCAGGGGCCGGAGGGGGTCCGGTTCGGAGACCACAGGATTTCATCTCTGCTGTTTGCCGACGATGTTGTCCTGTTGGCTCCAAGGAACCAGGACCTGCAACATGCACTGGGGCGGTTTGCAGCCGAGTGTGAAGCGGCTGGGATGAGAATCAGCACCTCCAAATCCGAGGCCATGATGCCTGACTGGAAAAAGGTGCCTTGCCCTCTCGAGTAATGAGTAATGATTATTTATATAGCACATTTATATATATATAAAAAATATATATATAGCGGAAAAAAAGCATCTGCGCATGCGTCAGCCGGCGCAAGCTCCTTTCATTTGAACGAGAGACTTAAAAAATTCACAGCGAGTAAAGTAGAGTGGTCCAAAAAAATTCACCCCCCTCATCATTGACACACATGTGGAACGGAGCTTTGGGCCAAGAGCCAACTTTTGGACCATCCTTTTCGAGAGGTCTGCCAATGCTATACGTTAGCATTGGCTAATTCTTAATCCGGGTCCACCCCCATCGGCCCGGGGTGGTATTGCAAGCATGTCAGCGCATCATTTTGGCCACTTTCGAGCCGGGACCCGCCCCCACTGATCAGCCCCCAATCTTCATTATCCATTAATACCTATTGAGCATGTTTTTAGTGCCAGGGGAAACCGGAGCACCCAGAGGAAACCTATGCAGACACGGGGAACATGCAAACTCCACTCAGCACTGTTCCGACTGGGATTCGAACCCAGGACCTTCTTGCTGAGAAGCGAGAGTGCTATCCACTCAGCCACCGTGCCAAAGTGGAGAGGTCCTTCCTCATGTGGAGGAGTTCAAGTATCTCGGGGTCTTGTTCACGAGTGACGGAAGGATGGAGCGTGAGATTGACAGGTGGATTGGTGCAGCGTGCGCAGTGATGCGGCCACTTTCGATTTACCGATCAATTCTTGTTCCCTCCATCACCTCTGGTCATGAGCTTTGGATAATGACCGAAAGAACGAGATTGTAGATACAAGCGGTGGGAAAGACTGGTTGGGCACTCCCTTAAGGTGTTTTCACCCCGGACTCAACTTAGACTTCAAAAGCGTCAGTTTTGCACTGAAAATGAATAGTGAAGCGCGTCAGGTGACGCTGAGAGGCCCGGCTTCACTTGAAGCGCTTCAAAAGACGCGAGCATTATGCGCGTCACTTGAAGCTTTTGACACGCGTAATGCTTGCGTCTCTTTTGTCGTAAAAAAGTCCCTTAACGCCGAAGTTGAGAAAAGCTTTTGGAGCTTGACGCCGGGCTTCAACCAATCTGGAGACGAGGAGCAGCAGCAGCAGCAGCAGCAGCAGCAGCAGCAGGACTGTCATGTACAGTAGCTGCTACTGCTTTTTCATTGTCATTATTGTTATTTGTAATATTATTTGTATGAATAGTAACGTTCTTAAAAAGTAAGTAACACAATCAATGTACATATGCTGTGAAGTTAAAGTAATTTATTTAGTATAAGAACAAGCTAAAGCTGGCTCAGACACAGCAGACTGAAAGACAGGCGCTCCTCCGCGGGAATCAGTGCGAGCTCCAGGCGGGAGCGAGAGAAGCTCCTCCCACCCGGCGTCGGAGCTTCAAGCACCAAGGGGCGTTCACACCGGACCCAGCGTCAAATATTGCGCGTCAAAAGCGTTTTGAAGCTATTGGTCTGAAAGCACCTTTAGAGATAGGTTGAGGAGCTCAGTCACACGGAAGGATCTCGGAGCAGAGCCTCCGCTTGTCGACTTGTCGAACCTCCGCTTGTCGACAAAAGGGGCCGTAGCCCCTTTTGTGTATTTTTTACCAAGGGGGGTACTTTGACTAATTATTTCTCAAAATTTCCACAATAAAAGTTACAGTAGATCAAAAGTGACATGTTTTGACCATTTTTAGGCTATTTTGGACCAAAATGGCTACTTTAACTTAATATTTCTCAATATTTCTACAGTAAAAGTTTCTGGTCTTTGGTACAATGGTAGAGGACAATCATGAGGTCATGAATCCAGTGAAATTAGTCGCACACCTTTTTACAGTAAAAAGTTACAGTAGATGAAAAGTGACATGTTTCGACCTTTTTAGGCTATTTTGGACCAAAATGGCTACTTTAAATCAATATTTCTCAATATTTCTACAGTGAAAATTTCTGGTCTTTGGTACAATGGTAGAGGACAATCATGAGGTCATGAATCCAGTGAAATTAGTCGCACACCTTTTTACAGTAAAAAGTTACAGTAGATGAAAAGTGACATGTTTTGACCTTTTTAGGCTATTTTGGACCAAAATGGCTACTTTAAATCAATATTTCTCAATTTCTACAGTGAAAATTTCTGGTCTTTGGTACAGTGGTCGAGGTCAATCATGAGGTCATGAATCCAGTGAAATTAGTCGCACCACTTTTTACAGTAAAAAGTTACAGTAGATCAAAAGTGACATATTGTGACCATTTTTGGGGTACTTTGGACCAAAATGGCTACTTTAACTTAATATTTCTCAATATTTCTACAGTGAAAGTGTCTGGTCTTTGGTACAGTGGTAGAGGACAATCATGAGGTCATGAATCCAGTGAAATTAGTCGCACACCTTTTTACAGTAAAAAGTTACAGTAGATCAAATGTGACATGTTTTGACTATTTTGGAGGTATTTTGGACCAAAATGGCTACTTTAAATCAATATTTCTCAATATTTCTACAGTAAAAATTTCTGGTCTTTGGTACAGTGGTCGAGGTCAATCATGAGGTCATGAATCCAGTGAAATTAGTCGCACACCTTTTTACAGTAAAAAGTTACAGTAGATGAAAAGTGACATGTTTTGACCATTTTTAGGCTATTTTGGACCAAAATGGCTACTTTAAATCAATATTTCTACAGTAAAAATTTCTGGTCTTTGGTACAGTGGTAGAGGTCAATCATGAGGTCATGAATCCAGTGAAATTAGTCGCACACCTTTTTACAGTAAAAAGTTACAGTAGATCAAAAGTGACATGTTTTGACTATTTTGGAGGTATTTTGGACCAAAAGGGCTACTTTAAATCAATATTTCTCAATATTTCTACAGTTAAAGTGTCTGATCTTTGGTACAGTGGTAGAGGACAATCATGAGGTCATGAATCCAGTGAAATTAGTCGCACACCTTTTTACAGTAAAAAGTTACAGTAGATCAAAGGTGGGAATGTTCTTAGTTTTGTGTATTTTGGGCTAAAAAGTGTACTTTGTCTCAATTTTATCCACAATTTCGAAAGTAAAGGTTTTTGGTTGTAGGCACAGCAGTGAAGGCAGTGGTGAGGTCATGAACCCAGTGGAATAAGACACTCAAGTCTTTACTGTAAAAATGGACAGCAGCTGAAAATTTCACTTTTTGACCAAATTAAATGTCCAACATTTTAAGTTTTTACATGCTTTTCCAAATAAGGGTTTATTCACAAAACGAGTCTCCTAAGCGTGCTTTCTGTTCGAGGAGGAAAGCTGACTGCGAAAGGCTGTTCTGCTATTACCGTAAGCAGTCAACAAAACGCGCACTGCTTTTCTCTCGATGCGGGCCGTTTTACTTCGGAGGTGAAAGATGCGGCCCACTTTACCGCGGTGAATTTAGGGGGGTACTGTGGCGTGCGAGAACGCAAAACTCCGGTTATCTCTGTCTACACACAAATGCATTAACGGAGTTTTCAAAAATCTCCACTTTGCCCGGAGTTTTTTGTATATATTTGTTTAGAATGTGTAATTTTTTCATTTATTTAATGCGATCTACCAATACTACCTTTGCGATCGACTGGTAGATTGCGATCGACGTATTGAGCACCCCTGCTCTACAGGATCTGAGCGAGATCCTTCACAAACTTGAGGCTGCTCATCATTGTCGCTCGGGATTTCAATAAATGTAATTTAAAGACTGTACTCCCGAACTTTCACCAACATGTGACTCAAGCTACAAGAGGACCACAAATTCTGGATCACTGCTATTGCAACGTGAAGGGAGCTTACAGGTCCGGTCTCAGACCTCCTTTTGGGAAGTCTGACCACTCCTCTGTTCTCCTTCTTCCTTCGTACACACAGAGGAGCAGGGAACATAAACCAACTAACATAAAGCTACAGGGCTGTTTTGATGCTACGGACTGGCCTGTGTTTCAGTCTAAGGATGTTAATGAATTCTGTGACGCTGTGACAGCATACATACGCTTCTGTTGACTGCTGTGTCCCACAGAAGGTCATTTAAGAACATTTTAGTCAAAACGCATGGATGAACGCGGAAGTAAAGCTGAAACTTCATAAGCGTGCTTTAGCGTTTCAATCAAATGATACAGTTGCTTATAAGCTTTCCTGTTACTCATTGAAACGTTCTATTAAATCTGCAAAGATTAGTTACAGGGACAGGTTAAAGAGTTATTTTGAGGAAGATGACCCTCGCCGCATGTGGAACGGTATTAAAGCCATCACATCCTGGAAACCTAGCGCTGGGAAAATTGCATCTGTCGGCCAAGCTCTGCCAAACGAGCTGAACACGTTCTACTGTCGCTTTGAATCTGCTGATGCCTGTCCTACTGTATTCCCTGATTGTTTCAATCAAGGTCCCTTCACCGTGACTCAGGAGGAAGTCAGGCGTGTCTTGTCCAGGACCACAGTCCGGAAAGCCCCAGGCCCAGACGCCATCCCTCCTCGTGTCCTGAAACTGTGCTCTGAGCAACTTGCCCCTGTGCTAACAGACATTTTCAACCTGTCGCTAAGGAACTGTACTGTGCCGAACTGCTTTAAAGAGTCGACCATCATTCCAGTTCCTAAGAAAACTCGTGTGACATGCCTTAATGACTATCGTCCTGTGGCCCTCACGTCTGTTCTTATGAAGACTTTTGAGCGGCTTGTCCTGGACTTCATTAAGAGCCAGATCCCTGTGAGTGTTGACCCGCTCCAGTTTGCTTACAGACAGAACAGGAGTGTGGAGGATGCCATCTCCTTTGCTCTGAACTCTGTCTACAGTCACTTGGACACTAGTAAATCTGTCGCGAGAATGCTTTTCATTGATTATAGCTCCGCTTTAAATTGCCTTGTCCCAGGTAAACTGATTGAAAATCTCATGTCTCTCGGTTTAAGTGTTGCCATGTGTAAATGGATTTTTAGCTTTTTAACTGACAGATCTCAGAGAGTGAAAATCAATGACTGTTTTTCTGATGATTTCTGATTTCTGATTTCTGTGAGCACTGGTTCTCCTCAGGGATGTATTTTGAGTCCTTTATTTTACAATTGTTTGTCCTCCTCCGACTCTAATTTGATAATTAAATATGCTGATCATACCAGTAATATAGATGAATCCTCTTACAGAGCAGAGATGCTGAACGCATCAAAAACATGTGAGCTGGTCTTTGACTTTAGTCCTCACAGTTCTCACACTCCTGTTGTTATCGATAACTCCAAAGTACAGAGTGTAGAGGAGTGCAAGTTTCTGGGTTTAACTCTGTCTAACGACCTGAAGTGGGACAAAAACACTGACTGAGTGGTTAAGAAATCTTGTCAGCGTCTCTACTTTCTGCGTAAACTTAGAGAATTTACCACTAACTCTAAGATTCTGCTTAACTTTTATCGCGGCACCATTGAGAGTTTGCTTGTTGGTTCTGTGTCTGTGTGGTTTGGTAACATCACAGACAAAGAAAGGAGAGCTTTAGGCCATGTCCACACCTAGCCGGGTAAGATTATAAGGCAGTAAGATCCATGCTGTGATCAGAGGTTGTTTTGGGGGCATACTGTGACGTGCGAATACGCAAAACTCCGTGTACCTCTGTCTACACGCAAATGTATAAACAGAATTTTAAAAATCTCCACTTTGCCCGGAGTTATTTTAAATATTCGTTTATGATGCGTTGTCATGTGGATGACAGGTGCAAACGAAGAAAAATATCTGCGGTTTAGCAGATACCCGGCTACGTGTGGACATGGCCTTAAACAAGGTGCTCCGCTCTGCAAAGAGGACTGTGGGCTGTGAGCTTCGTAGAATTATCAATGACTCTTCTGGCCACCCTGGGAAAGCCATGTTCCAGCTTCTTCCCTCTGGCAGAAGATATCATTCTCTGGGATGCACGACATCTGTTTACAAGCACTGACCCCCGTCCTCAGCCCTGGTTTAGTCCTGGTTTAGCCCCCGTTTTGGTTGTGTTGGAGCGTTTTGGCTGTGTTGGAGCGTTTTGGTTGTTTTGGAGCGTGAGTCTCTAAGAAGCTAACAGCTTCTTCCCACAAGCTGTTATCAGTTTGAACAGAGCACTTTAATGATCTTGCACTTTTATTGATACTGTTTTGGTCGATCGATTTCACAGTCTACAGTTTTATTTGTTTTATTTCTGTACTTTTAATGTTGTTTTATGTCTGAACTTGTCTTGTGCACACTGGGGACTTTTGATAATGTATTCCAATGTGGTTTTACTGCAAATGGCAAATAAAATGACTGAATCTGAATCAGTTTTAAAGGTTTTGAATATAATTGCAGCTGATCTTCCCTAAATATAAATAATAAAGATATTAAAAAAGTCTCTAATGCACTCAAGCTCCATTCAGCGGTGGTGGGTGGGTGGAAATCTTTATCTTTTTCCAGAAACATTGATAGCTCACCTTTCCCAGCGACATCAGCAGTGGAAAGTTGATCCTGTCTCTGTATCGTAGAATGTTCAAGATGCCGTCCAGATAAACCTGGTCTTTGCCAAAGCAACCTACAAACCAAACCGAGAAATCTGATTATTTAACATGAAAAGAAAACAAAAGTCTTATCATCCCTAACATGTGTGCAGCTGTGGCAGACCTGGCTGGGCCGTATCCCTCTGGCCCCTCTTGGCCCTCACGCAGTAGTCCCAGCGTGTGTGGGGGTCCTGTAGGAAGCGTCCCAGGCAGTGGAAGAGCTGGCAGAAGGACATGCTGCTGGCCTGGTACACTGTGTAGTAAAGCAGGGCGGCCCTCCAGAGCGTGGGGTCCCGTCTGAACAGCACACTGTGGATGCTGGCCAGGCCCTCCTCTGTGGGGTTCAGGGGCCTCAGGTTGTGCCTCCTCCGGCCCGCGCTGCTGCTCCATGGCTGGTGCACGTTGTTCAGGCCACGGAAGTAATGAGTGCCTGGAATAACATTGAGGCGTCATTTGTGTATCCTTCATATCATCTACATCATGGGGGTCAAAAACATAAGAGCCAAAAAAAAGTTATTTTTTGTTACTAAAAATGTTCTTGCAGGCTGAATTTGGCCCACGTGCCTGAGTTTGACATGCCTCATTTAAATGGGACGTTGTGCAGTAGTGAGTATTATTTTAGTGTAAAGTTACTGTTCATTGATCTTGTGTGTTGTTGTGTGCTCCTCTTTCCTCGTGTTCTGTACCCTGTGGTGCAACACACGGTGGAAGGAAAAAAAGATCTCTTCATTTTTTCCCGTTGTTGTTCATGTCCATGTTCACTCCTTGAAAAACTTTTTGTCTATGTTGTTGGAGCACAAATAACACAAATAATTAGTTTTTATTTTTTTACCCCTAGTTTTGAATCATAGGCCTCTACATAATGATTGTGATGCAGTTTGATGGTAAAAGTGCAAAATGTGTGTGTGCAGCGTGTGTGCAGCGTGTGTACAGCGTGTGTGCAGTGTGTGTACAGTGTGTGTACAGTGTGTGTAAAGCGTGTGTAAAGTGTGTGTACATTGTGTGTACAGCGTGTGTAAAGCGTGTGTAAAGCGTGTGTAAAGCGTGTGTAAAGCGTGTGTAAAGCGTGTGTACAGCGTGTGTAAAGCGTGTGTACAGCGTGTGTAAAGTGTGTGTACAGCGTGTGTACAGCGTGTGTACAGTGTGTGTACAGTGTGTGTAAAGTGTGTGTACAGCGTGTGTACAGCGTGTGTACAGTGTGTGTACAGTGTGTGTACAGTGTGTGTAAAGTGCGTGTACAGCGTGTGTACAGCGTGTGTACAGTGTGTGTACAGCGTGTGTAAAGCGTGTGTACAGCGTGTGTACAGCGTGCGTATACTATAGTTAGTGTTGGGTCGTGGACATGTACCGATCTCGTGGCGGAGCATGCCCTCCAGCCAGTGCTCCCGGGCCGTGCTGGTGTTGATGGTCAGAGTGGGCCTGGAGTTCACCACCGTCATGGAGGCTCTGGAGAGGAGGTCGTCTGTCACCTGCACCACAATCTGACACAAACACAAATCTGAATACACTTTTCTTTAAAACATGACATGAAGTAACATTCTATTTCTGAAACTGAATGCTCCAAGTTAACTCTTGCAGACAAATGCACAAGAACATCTGGGTGGCTGAGTGGTTAGGACTCTTGCTTCAAGAAGGTCCTGGGATCAAATCCCGGTCAGAAAAGGGTCTTTCAAAGTAGAGTTTGCGTTTTCTCCCATGCACAATAGGTCTGAATGTGATGAGATGTGATCGGAATGTGATCTCACTTCCGTCATCACCGTGTGGAGGGAATGGAACCATATCTGAACTGTGACCATAGTAAAGCACTCTGGGTGACTAAAGTGAATTAGTCAAAATGCATTTCTCTGTTCTAGAAAAATTTGAAGACTTTTTAATATCAAAATATCACAATTTCTTTTGTCAGTTTTAAGTAGGAACTATTTTAATGGAATATCCCTAATCTATCTAATCTGATAACACAGAATTCAGATTAGATCAGTATTGAATTGTATGTAAACTAGAATATTCCCCCCATTCACCTTCAATGTTCCACCTCAAAGCTGGAGAAAGCCTACTGACTAACTTTCTTTTTGTATTGTCCCAAAAGAGTTTTTACACTTCTAATGTGACAGACAAAATATATGTGAAAACTAGGGATAGAACCAAACAGTTTTTAGAGCGAGGAAGTAGTTATTTGTGACATAATTCCATGTTGTTGTTTGAAAGTTTGTTCCCATGTCACTTTCTATATGAAAACTTGGGAGAAAACTGCTCAGTGACACATCTATAACTCGATTATGTCATCCGTACTTGTTAGTTACATAAAAATCCCTTTCACGTGAACTTCAGAGACTGCAAAACATAGAAAACCACATTCACGCTGCACTTTGTCTTGAATTCCGGTTATTAATCGATCATTTTGATGGATTTATTTATCTTTTGGAATACTTCATTGATTTGAAACATTTCTATCTAGTTACGTAAGAGATGAAGAGATCCTTTATTCGTCCCACAGCGGGGAAATAGTTGTTGCTTCACTTATTTTGTTGTTCTTTTATGTCTCACTGACTGTGTGTGTAAAGTGTATTCTTCATGTGTGTTTATGTGCATGTGTGTGTTTATATTCTTGTGTGTGTGTGTTTATATTCTTGTGTGTGCTTTTATATGTGTGTGTGTGTGTGTATATTATATATTATTATATATATATATATATAGATATTATATATATAATAGTATGATATTTGTTTTATACCATTACAATAAATGTAATTACCATAGGGAGGAGGGTTGGGGTTTAACAAGAAAAAAAACTGTTGAACTGTAGAAAATTGTAGAACATCTTAAGATATCTTAAGGCTATACAAGAATAAATGGAATTGGATTGAAGAAGGTTACTTTTATTATTATTTCATTGATACATCTTTTTATTTCTTTGTTATTTTTATATACATTTTATTATTACATGTTTTTTATTTGTTATTATAATTTTTATGCAATCTCTTTTCCTTTGCATCATAATTGTTGCCTTGTTATGTTTTTGAGTAATGACATATTGACCATTTGAACCCCTCATTCCCCTGAATAAAGGTGTTTCATGGGAAATGCCAAGTTGAGTCCAGTAATGTTTATAAGAGAACCTTTATTCTACAGTATATTCTCTATCCCTTATGGCAGACTGAGAGTGCGGTGGTGCATGTGGCTCTGACCTCTCCCACACATCCTTCCTTCTCCATGTATTTCTTGACGCTGGTCCAGATTTTGCTCTTGCTCAGCAGACTGCCCCCGGTCACCTGCTCGAAGTGCTCGTAGCTGCCGTATCTCTGCAGCGCCACCTCCATGATGTGGACCGCCTGCACAAACACAACCACAATCATCTGTGCACCATGGGATTTCCCATGATCCTCCGTGGATTTGGCTCGTGGCATAGTTTCTGGAAAATATGAAAAAATAGAGAAAAAACACTTAGCCACATAGCTGTGCAGACTTTTCTATGGTTTTCATATTGTGCACCTTTTTTAAATCCAGCGCGCTAGTTCAGGCTACTGGAATGTGCAGCCTTATTTGAAACCTTCTCATAGTTTATGGAATGACAATATCGAGCGTCTAAACTCACGTCTGTCTCTGTGAGATTGGGAAAGTAAACTTGAAGTGTGTGTGGTTCTATCTTTATGCGGTGCTGTGGTTAGCGCTTGTACCTCACAGTAAGAATGCTTTTGGGTACTTTGGGTTAGATTCCACCTCCAGGCCTTTCTGTGTAAGTGTCTGAATGTTCTCCCCATGTCTGCATAAGATTCCTCCAGGTGCTCCATTTTCCCCTATCACTAAAAACATGCACAATAGGTCTGGCATGTGCCTCCTGTACGGCGACCATCTTTGTGTGGAGTCGACAAATGCCCACAACAATTGTAAAGCCCTTTGTGACTCCGGTCTGTGAAAGGTTCTATATAGATTAAGATTACTTATTTATATCAATTTAAATCCAATCCACAGGTTTTCAATGTGTTGAATGTGTCAAGCTGACGTTAGTGCTGTTTCTCCTCAGGATTACATGTGCAGTCTAAGTATTATGATTCAGATATCCATTATTCTTCCCTCCATGATATTGGTGCAGCCAACATCCTGTTTGGGTTTATAATGTTACTATAATAAAAGAATTATGACTGATGTTAACCATAACATCTGGGTTAGGGTTATGTTGATCAGCACTCAACCATTGAACATACAAAAGTGTAAATCTATACATATATTTTTTGCGGTGCAGGTTCTAGGTACTATATGCAGGTGTAGGTTTCACCCTTCGGTCGGCCTGACTCATTTATTTTCCCCAAAGGAACAAAAAAATTGTCCAATTACTGTAAAGTGAACCAGACCAAGAAGTGTGAATGCCCTCTTAAAGCGGCCTAAACCTAATCCACCTTAATCCCATTTAGCCAGACAACAATCCTATTTTCAACAATACTCTTTCATTTGGAGCGACACGTTTCAGCTGACGGGAATGGAAGCTTAAATATTGAACAGGTCTGTCTTTCTTTCTGTTCCAGGCTCTCCGGTTGGCTGCTCTCGGTGATTGGTGTGCACGTACAGTATTTATGAGGACTGAAGTAGGCCAGCCGTGTGGACAGGAGCGTCTGGAGCGGCCACGGGGGATCACCTTTCTGCGTTTCCTCCGGCTCACTCTACACTCTGCCGTCTGTCCTGTCCCGAACGTGTGTTACTACTGCGTACTCATGTGTAGTGGTGTCAGTGATCTCTGTCAACATGCCGACCACACGTTTGCTTCACGTTTATGGTTACACGGCATCCTCAAAGTAACGTAGAAAGAACAATGTATTAGACTAGATATTGTTTTCTTTCCTGTAAAAACTAGACCTGATAGAGCTGGAATATGCACTCAGAGACTATATTTCCAAAATGTGAATGGGGCTTCCTGTCTGGACCGGGAAGGCGGAGCTTTGTCATGCAAACAAAGCTAGTAGAAAGTACACCCCACTTGTCAGCAATTATCTAGCCATAATTTGTGTGAACCAATATTTTGAAAAGGGAGACTGTAAGGATATAGAGGCCTTAAGAACTAAGAAACAAAATCACTGTCTAATAAAACTCAGCAAGAACTATCATCAATCAGACGGCCACTGCTCCAATATAACTGTGCAATGTAAATCTGCAAATTCAGACTTTTATTACTTTTTTTACGTCTTTGTTGGGGGCCTGCCATGGAGTGAAGCCTCTGTGAGTATCTAGAAAAAATCTGTATAAAAACAATGCTATTATTTTAATTATTATGATAAGAGCAATGTTTGTGAGAGCTCGTAACACGTGAGGCTGATTTAAGATCTTCTTTCACAATTACAAGTTCAGCTTCAAGAGGAAAACAAGCTGTAATTGAAGACGGAGAGCAGCCTTACACTGCACCACACACTTCTGCTGCGCTGGCTCTACACACAGCATCACCAAAGTGCTCCAACAGCAGGAGCAGGGAGCAGGAGGAGAGGGGAGTAGGAGAAGAGGAGACCAGGAGGAGAGAGTAGGAGGAGAGGGGAGGAGGAGGAGAGGGGAGCAGGAGGAGGAGAGGGGAGGAGAGGGGAGGAGGAGGAGGAGAGGGGAGCAGGAGGAGAGGGGAGGAGGAGGAGGAGGAGGAGAGGTGAGGAGGAGGAGGAGGAGAGGGGAGGAGGAGGGGGGAGTAGTTCTGAGTCACAAAGCTCAGCACACAAAGACAAACGAGCACTAAATGTGGACATCAGCTTTTAGCAGCAGACGGCTGCTTAAAGCTGACTTTTGTATTTCAGTTTGGTGCAGTCAAAATTTTTTGAAGAAATGTTCAAATAATTTCCCAGATTATTTTTTGATACTGATTAGATTCACAAACCTGTCAAGTTACTCTTAAGTACTTCTTCAAGCCAACAACAAGTATGTTTTTTTTTTTTTTTTTTAATTGTCACCACTTCTAGACTCCTTTTATGAGGAAATAATCAGACCATAGTTGATCTGTGCTAACAAAGACAACGTGGAACCTTTGAGTTTTTGTTTCATGTGGATTGGCCGGGGAATTGCAGAAGCATCAAATTCAGATTTAAGACCAAAAATCTGACTTTTAACAAAAAATGTCAGCTTCCCTCTACAACAATGTTTAACTAGACCATGCAGGGCCTCCAACCTGTAACTCAACCAGTAGCTCACCACCCCCTTCCAGGTAGCTCACCAAAGGATTTAGAAATGAACAAATCAAATAATATACTTATTATATTTCAGTTTGTATTATTCATTATCCTTATTCTTTATTGTAAATGCACTTACTTTGTGCACTAGTTACAAATATGCAATGATAAATGATGACAATACACAATATCAGGCTTGTTCACACCAATATATCACCACATTTTCCCAGAGCCACTTAAAGGAGTAGCTCTCTGCCTTTCTCGTCCCGGGAAAGTAGCTCTCTGGCTGAAAAAGGCTGGAGACACCTGAACAAGACACTCTTTGGAATGTTGTGATGCTACATGAATGCAAACCTATATAGAGTTTCTTTTGTGTGGCGCCCCTCACCTGAGTCAGAAAGCGATCCGAGGCGGTGCCGTGCTTGGCCAGCACGAGCGGGGGCAGCGGGTTACTGTACTCAAACTGCGGGTTGTAAGCAAAGTCGGACTTGAAAAACCTGGCCTTCTCCTGCTCCACATTGACGGGTTTGATGGCGGCTAAGATGCAAAGCTTTCGGGAGTTCTCCGCCTCCTCCAGCCTCACCGGCCTGTTCAGGTAGGGCAGCCTGGTGGACGGAAGGCTGGGAATGTACGCCTTCTTGTGCCGTGGCCGTGGGATCAGACCTAAAGTAGTCCCCACTATGGTCATGCTTTTGCCCGGCCTGGGAAGACTGGAAGTGCTTTTGGACAGAATGTAGTTACTTTGAACAGCTTTAGCGCCTTCCTGGCTTTTTCTAGAAGCCATGTCTGGTTGTTTGTTCTTTTTTGTGGGCAGGGCTTGCTTCACCGGCTTCCTCTTTCTATGTGGCGAGCGTTTGGGACTCTTCCTCTCCGCGTCTTCAGCCCAGAGCAGGACGTTGTAGCTCTTGGAGCGAAGTTTTAGGAGGTCTTTGAGGACCTCTGCAGGGAATTTGTCCAGATAAACTTGGCCCGGACTGACGGCCTTGTTGAGGATGGACTTCTTGGACAGCTCCACCTTAGGCCAGTGGAGGCGTTCTGAAAGAGAGAGGGACAGAGAGAGAGACAAAGAGAGAGCGTGACAGAGAAAGAGAGAGAAACAGAGAGAGACAGAGACATAGAGAGAGAAAGAGAGACACAGAGACTGAGATGAGACTTATGTAGTAAACGAAAGCACATGCAGCTTTTTAGTGAGATAGACTAATCCTCTTATCGCAGCGGGGGAAAATTAGAGGTATTCTCAGTTTACAGACAAATGAATGGCATTAGTGAGAAGGTGTAATAAAAACGACTGATACTCCGGATGGTACTCTGTATAATTCATTGCTTACTTCATTTGGTTGGTATCCATGGTTGTGTCCAGACATCTGCATCCCACACATTTCATAAAATTAATAATATCAAAATTAGGGCTGCATTGTAAATAAGTGCCATGAGAGAGACAGAGAGACATGTGGTGAAAGGAGTTATGGTAACAAAGATATATTGTGATGTTCCAAAAGAAATCAATATGTGTGTTTGAACTGCAATGTGTGCTGTGTTTTGCTCTTTCACTGAACACTGAAAAGGGACACCAGCAGCAAATGGATAAAAACTGATGAATTCATTATTTTTTTTGTACATACAATTATGTGTACCCATTGCCAAGTGTTTGAAATTGTCTGAAATAAATTATTGCACAGCTTTTTGATATCAATATTGCACTTGCCATAATTGGGATAATGATATTTTTTCAATATATTGTGCAGCCCTAATCACTTTATAACTACGTCTTATTTCGCACCAGTTATTTTCTAAGCGTGGGAGGGGATAAATATTCTTATCAATGCAACAAAAAAGTTCCTAAAATACCTAATTTAATTTATTCTTACAAATAAAACAGAAATTGATTATGTACAGAATGAATAAACGTATTCCCAATGCTAAACAAACCCACATTAAACAACAAGCCATGACCAATCCAAATGAATAATGTAAAGTTTTTACTGCTAAAAAGGAGATTTGCATGAAAACCAATCAATTAGCATAATTTCTATTCAGCATCCACATTTAAATTTGTGTGGACGAATTATTGAATAAGGCACAAAATACACCGTTTACTGTTCATTTGTATAGCTCAAAGCAAACAAAAGGCAACTCAAATGGCTCAAAGGGTTCCAAATCACAGCATGAAACAAACATTTTAACATACTTCTCCCAAACGTATTAAATGCTGTTGCTTACAAATAAAAATTAATGCAAAATAATAATAAAAACAGCAGTCTGTAAAGTCTTGTTGTATCTATGGACAAGAAAACATACTGTACCTTTAAAATGCCCTTGTTTTTGATGAATGATTTATAGTCAAATTACAAATTAGACAAAGTTATACTGATTCCATTGCTCCAAATGGAAGCTTTGAAGAGTAAACTGCCTTCGAGTAGAATCCACGAACAAGCAGTCTTCATTTCAATACAGATATCAGTGAGACAGCTCAGCCCCCACATCCAATCCTATTACATCACAGTTATTACAGCATTTCTTATATTCATGTCGGCCTAAGTACGGCCCAAGGGTTTGATTCAAGAGACAAGGCAAGTTTATTTGCACAATTCATACACAAGCTGAACAAAACAAGATAGAAATAATCACACAGGGCATTAAAACCATACATTATTAGTACTGTAAAAAGAGGGGAATGTTCAATCCTTCAGTTGCATGAACAGCTAAACAGAAACTTGTTCTGTTTTTAACCTGGATTAGAACATTTTCAGAGAAGAAATCTGTCTCATATTTTCAGGAAGGCTGCACCAGATTTAAGCTTCATGAATCTGAAATGCTGCCTCCTCGTGTTTAGTTCTCACTCTGGACACCAGCAGGAGGGCAGTCCCTGTGCTCCTCAGAGTCCCAGCAGGAGGCCAGTCCCTGTGCTCCTCAGAGTCTGAGTTGCTTATATAATGTTGCCATTTTGGAATGGACTAGTGGAAGAGTTGTTCACTGGAGACGGCAGGGGAATCCAAATACATAAATAAATAAATATAGAAGACTGAAATAGCACATGCAGTTTGTTCCAAAAGAAAGATCCCAGAAAAGTAAAACCTAACAAATCACACCACGACATGCTGTCTTCATCTTATTGTCTTAATACTTGTAATAAAGAGCCACATGAATCACTATTTGCTTAAGGAGGGGAGCTGATGGGCTCAGTGTGGTGCCCTTTTTTTCCACTATTTTTGTTTTAAAACGCTGATCTTAAGATGTACCAGTAAAACATATACAAGTATGTGAAAACTAGTGAGAATACTCAGTGGATCTAATCAGAGAAGAGACTGTAACAAGTCTCTCCATGTCCTCGCACCAAAGTACATCTGTGACAAATTAGTGTCATATGAACCAACTCAGACTCTGAGGAGCACAGGGAGTGGCCTCCTGCTGGGATTCTGCTGAGCACAGGGACTGGCCTCAGCGTCAGGACTAAACATGAGGAGGCGGCATTTCAGATTCATGCAGCTAGAACCTGGAACCAGACTTCATGAAAATGTGATGAACAGTTTAAAAACAGTTGTGTTTAGCTGTGCAAAAAACTGAAGGATTGTATGATCGTCACTCTTTTTAATGTACTGTGATTATGTATGATTTCAATGCCTTGTGTGTGAACTGTGCTATTCAAAAAAACTTGCCTTGTTTTAGGGTGAGGAACTGGTCAGATATATATTTATTAAATACAATGTAATAAAAATCTATTCATAAATATGTTAAATCTCATTAAATTTTGTTGAATTAGTTCTATGTTATGTTATGTTCAATGTGACATATGCATTCCTCCATTGTTCTCGATTGTGAGTTCAATAAAGTTTATATTAAACTACTATAGCTCGCCATCTATCTATCTGTCTGTCTCTATAACGCCATGTATCACGTGGTTTAAATGCTAACTAATAGCTAAGTAATAATAACACTATAATTACAGTAGCGTCAGTGTAAAAATAAAAAGAGAAAGTCTTACCAGTCACGTTTATAGACTCCAACATGGTTAGTTCACTCTATTTAAGACCAGTGAGAGGATCAGACGGAAAATCCAGTCTGGACACAGATTAGCTGCACTTGACTAACAACCTCGTCAGTGAGAGCGAGGTGACAAATGGATAAACAAGAGCTGAACGGTAAGAGTAAAAAAAAAAAAAGTTGTATCTAGACACGGGATAGTTGCTGGTCTCGTCCTGACAGTGTCCACATCAAAGTCCAGACTCGGTCCAGAGTCCGGAGCTGTGTGAAGGAGCGAGAGAAGCTTCTGTGTGGTCCGCATCCATTCCGCGGTTACTATGGTTTCAACGGGGCGTCGCCTTCGCGTCATGCGAGCATAAAGGCTGATGGGAAATGTAGTGCAGAACAAAGAACACATCATTATCTTTGTGAGCAAGTTCAATGGATCTATTATATGGAGAGTTCAGTCACTTTGAATGAATGATGATACGATGAGCTGCAAATAGCCCGTCTCAATGGTTTTCTTTTGAGAATCCTGGTTGGTGGCGTGACAAAAAAGAGCTATTTTTTTAAAATTGGCTCTTTGTTGGAACTTCTTCATTGTTTTTACGTCTAAAATTCCTTGATCCATTCATCTTTATCTTTAAATCATTGCAGCCTCAAATATATTTAAGAATGTAATTCAATTTGATTATCAATGGATTTCATATAATTTAAGTCCAGACATAAGGCAAGAAACTGAAACCCAAAAACATGTAGTAATAGTCATTTCAATACAGTTTGTGGTATGTAGTTTAAACAATAACACATTTACGCAAACATATTGTTTCTAATTATTTCTACTGTTTCAGGTTGTTGTCTTGAAAATTAAATGAAAAATGTTTTTATGGCCAGCCTGTGGAGAATGTTACAGTAGTGTAAATACAATTTAATGCAATATTGATGCAATAAGATTGCAAGCTTATGTTGTCAATTATATTTTGTAATTAGTTATACTGCAATACCATTTAAGTTGCTAAATGGTTACTATATAAAAAGGAATGCATTGCCATGTATTTATGCTTTTGTTGCGAGTTACTTAAAACTGTATTTTCAGCTAGAGATGTGCTTTTTGCCTGTAGCAGATCTTGGGATTGTGGCGTGATTGTTAACTTTCTCATCAAAACATGAAAGTTAACCACTGGACATTTTCCTTTTGCAGTAATAAAGAAGCAGCGTGTATGACTGGTTGCGTGAATTACATAAGAAGTGTGCGCACGTGTGCATGTATTTATAAAAATCCCGGTAGGAGACATTAATTGAAAGGAAAAGAAGCCTAAAAGTTACATTTAGTTAGGAAGGTTACGGCAACAAATATTTTGAAACCTCATCACATACATTATTATTCCAAATATTAATGGTGATTGGGAAAAGTAAGCTTTTGGTTCAATTTCCATTGTCGTTAGGGATGGAATTTAGTTTTGCAAAGTGGCATTCACCTATTGTGATTTACCTATAATTTTCCTTTCTATTTGTTTGGTTATGTTCAAGTGTCACACTCATAGACATTGAAAGTCTTGAACTTTAGATGTCTATAGATCCATGGTCTATGGTGTTTTTATAATAGATCCATGTCCATGGTCCTATAAATAATAGATCCCGCTTCCCCATTCACAGATTTAAAGCCCCGGTCCTGGCCTCTGATTGGGTCATGGGACTACGCGGGCTTCCGTCCGGCAGTTGGAGTCTGCGCAGTAGCCGCAGCGCTGAAATTCAAATTTTGAACTGACGTTGTTTGGCAGAAAGCAAAGAGGAGCAGAGGAGAAGGGACGCGACAGTGCGGACAGAGCTTCACGTCGTGTTTTTAAGCCCACAATCCTGCGCAAAAAACTTATTATTGTAACATCAGAGAAACGCTGTCTCTTATGGATCCGTTTACTGAGGTGAGTTTGGCTAATTTAGCGATAGCATGCAGCACCCTGTGGATAGTCCTCATAACGAGCTAGCTAAAAGTATCTAATTGTAGTTTTAATAATCTGTATAGTTACTGTTTGCCTTTTGTATAAACTAGCGTTAAATGTTATGGTTTGTGCATTATATAGTGTGTTTGTTATCGAATGTGTGTCGTCAACAATAGGCAATAATCCATAAAGTCTTTGACGTTTTCACGTGTTATGTCCATACCCTCGTGGGTTACGTCTTTGTCTTGCTCTTATCAAAACATTACAATCACCCTATACCTCACCATGCATTTTGTTGTATACAATATAGTGTGTTTTTCTTAAATGCCTTTTGTTTCAGCGTTTTACTCGGACATGGCAGAATTAATATACTTCCTCTATGTTCTGTACAAGTCTAAAACTTGGAGTGGTCCTCATTATCCTTCTCCACTGCTTTCCCCTTGGCGAAATGTCTTTTTTTTCTCTCACTCCTTCATGATGTGAACTATGATGCCTTTTTTGGTGTGAGCCTTATGCCGCCAGTAGATTTCAAATTTGAAGTGTGGTTACTGTAGGCAGGAGTGGCTCATGACTTGGGAATGCAGTAAAAAAAAGTGACTTGAGTTTTTCCATTTAGAGCGTTGCTGCTTGGAATGTGTTTGGGCTTGCAGCTAAAGTACAACACTATTCATCAGACTGTGTGGCAGGCTGGTCGCAGTGTGACGAGAAAAGGTCAACTAAAGGAAAAGGGAAGGGCAGAACAAGCAGATGTCTTTATCTACTTTAGAGCAGGCTTTCACTGTTGGTCTGTCCAATCCGGGTGTGCAGAGAAAACACTGACTGCACCCTGGCTTTTACTGTTGCTTTTACATAAAAGTTGATACTGTTTGTACAGTGAATCAGTCACAGAAACTACAGAAATGAGAAATGCTCGCTTTTTCCTGTAGCCATACCTGCATGTGAAAACTAGATCCCGTTAGACCGCTGATGCTGAGCAGGGTAGGGCCTGGTTAGTACTGTGATGGGAGAACTGTGGGAACACCAGGTACCAAACTACTTACTTGCAAGACACTTCACCCACATTGCATGGAGAGAGTCTGATGTGTGCAAGAATGGTTGGTGGGGCGGATGGCACATACTAATTGCCATACTCTGCTTTCAGAAAAAAATGTTGTCCTAATGTGGGAAATATTTTCAGGATCAATACATGCTCAAATGAGTTTTTAGTCTCAGCCAGTTATTTATAAATATATATTTTATGCATTTAGACATTTTTATACATTTAGTTTTTAATTTTGACTTCATGTTTACTCCCTTTTTATAAATCTGAATGAGCTGTTGCTTAAATGTCATTTTTGCAGATGAGGAGGTTTTCTACATAAGGATGTAATTTAGGAAGATATGTAAATGGATAAGATGAGCACAGTGTATGAACTGTGTTGTATTATTCATACTTTGCAGTTAAATTGGCTGCACATTTTTTGGGGAAGAAAATAAGCTAATATTTTTATCTGTATTTATTTGACTTTGTGACTGATAAAAGAACATTCCACAGGGATGTGATAGCATTTACGTTTTGGACTTTTGGTTGACTCACTTTTGAAACACATTTCTTTGCTCACTGTAAAAATTACTTCTGTTGCAGAAACTATTAGAGCGGACAAGGGCTCGTCGAGAGAACCTGCAAAAGAAATTAGCAGACAGACCAAATGCTGCAAACCGCTTAATGACAAAACGTCCTCTGACTGAGACCAACAGTTTAATATGTGAGCCTGCAATCGATAAAGGTATACTCCATCTCCAAGGCCATCTCATTACATGTTTCTCAAATATCTTTGTAATAAAGTCACTCTTGTTCCTTTTGTGAATCAGTCCCACAGCCTGCGACCAAGCCCTCCCCATCCAAGCGCAAATGCTCAGGAGAAAACCTCCAGTCCTCCATTGTGGACGAAGAGAACAAGGAGCCAACGGTGCTGCAATCATTGACCCCTATGCTCCAGGATCCTCCCACTGACAAGAAACCTCCTGTCGGTGCCCGGACGAGCCGCTCTCACACCCCAATCCAGGCAGGGCAGGTGAAGGATGTGGAGCCAGATGGCAGAGATGAGGTTGAACTGGACAGCAGGCAGGAAGAGGAGGATAGTGAGATGGAGGTCAGGTCTTCTTCACTGCATCAGAGTGAGGAGGTGGAAGAGAGGAGTGGTCTGTCTGCTACAGGCATGAGGTCCCGTCTGCAGATGCTGGCAAACCAGAGGAAAGGCTGGGAGACCGGTGGTGAGCTCAGCAACACAATTCAAACAGATGTGTCAAAATTATGGAAGTTATTAAAGCAAGGATGACAAACTTTCATACCATATTTGTAATAAAATCCATCAATTCAATCCAATTCACAGAGCACCAGGCCCTCACTGTTCTTTCTTCAGGTGGTGGGCTTCAGGCAAAGTGGGGTTAAGTGTCTTGCCCAAGGACACAACAACAGCAGACATAAGTGAGGTCTGTGGAGAAGGGCTTTTGGTCAGCTCGAACTCACAATCTTCAGGCTTAGGGGCGACAGTAGCTGGGCGACAGTAGCTCAGTTGGTAGAGCATTGGCCTTTGGGCCCAAAGGTCGTGGGTTCGAAGGCCATGGGACCTTCTCCACCGACTCACCGATGCCTGCTGTCGTTGTGTCCTTGGGCAAGACACTTAACCCACTTGGCCTATAAGGAGCGCGGATATGATGTTCGCTGCATGCCTTGATGTGTATGTACAGTATGTGTATGCCTCAAATTGAAATTTCCCCATTGTGGGACGAATAAAGGACCTTCTTCTTAAAGGCCATTGCTTAGCCAACTAAGATGCTAAGCTACGATGAAGACAACATGTTGTGTTCTGAGTAGTACACAACATTTCACTTGAAACAAGGGACTTTCTAACATGTTATTTATGAAAAAATTAAGGTTTGCTAACCCAGCTCTAAAGGCAGGCTTTAGAATAAAAAATGTATAGAATATGGTATGCAAGTTTAGCTCCTGTTTCCATCTGGCTTCCGGTTATTGGATATATATATTGGATTTTTTTTTCTTTTACACATTAAATGTACAGAACTATAGGAATATTAAAAGAGAAACAGAATTGATGTTCAAATATGTTGTAGGTGGTTTAGAACAGTTGGTTGTATTAAATTCAGGACTGTTTAATCTAATTATCTTGTTGAACGTTACACAATTGTTATTGTAATTTACCACAAGCAGATTGGATATGTGTATTCTCTTGCTACCATCATCATCATATGTAAATCTGGCCATTGATTTCTTTTAACCCCAGCAGTGGATCCTGACTGCACCCCTCTCTCCGCACTGAAGCGACAGCCCGAGGAGCCTCTCATCCATGCACCCCCTGTCTCCAGCGGGACCCCTGTGGGACGCAAAGGCAGACTGGCCAACCTGGCTGCCACCATCTGCTCCTGGGAGGACGACCTCAGCCACGCCAGCATCCCCAAGCAGAGCGCCCCCCCAGAGAAGCCCACCCCTGTCCCCCAGACTCCCACCAGAGAGACTTCTGCCACCGCCAAACCTAACCCGGTACAACTCAAAATACAGACTGGGGAACGCGTGGAGCCAAAGCGGCGGTTACTAAATCAATGCTTCAAAACCAATATTTGATAAATATATTGCATATGATACATTTGTCATCTATGGAAGTCCACATATGACATCTGAGTATCAACTGATAAAAACGGATGCAGCATTTATCACTAGTATGTGTCTAGTTGAGTTACATACATATTAGTTTTGTCACAATACTAAAATTACAAACTATATCTATAGAAAACATCTATAGACAAAATGCCAATTAGGTAAAATGTGTTGCACTCCTAATGGCCTATGTTTCCAAATATAAAGGTGTATATGGGAGGATTTTCTTCTTCCGGGTGGATCATCTATTGGTCCTTCTGATTGTCACTTGTTCTAGTGATATGCAAGACATGTATTTATAGGGAAAATCCTTCTAATATTCCTTTTTAAGTGATATTCTTCCACTCATTCATAGTCCATGATCAGCCATGGGTTGCCCCTTCCTCAGGAAAAACAACTGCACATCCACCAAGAAGTGCCAATCGTGCTGTGATGACACGAAACACATACTGGATTTGCACCAGAACAAAAAGTCAGCGCTTTTGGCTAACTTAAAAAAAAATCACTCGAGCTAAAACAGACCTTGGATTGCTGTCAGAACTACAGGTGTTGAGCCAGACCGCAAAGATGGCAACGTGCCTCCTTTTATGGCTGTGGTTGGACAGCCAACTGCATGTTTTGATTTAGGAAAAAATATGCTTGAGTAATCACATGGCATTCTTTACAACTGCATGGTTTCATTACACATAATTGATGTGGTTTCCTTCTTCTACCACTAGATGGAAGAGCTGCTTAGTCTTATCTCTTTCTCCGTAGTCTTGTTTATCCTTATGTTTTTTGCATTTTGCATTCATTCGTATTTAAAAATACTGATCGGAAATATTCTCCTGATCATTTCATGTTACAAAATGAGTCTAAATAACTCGTACGCCGTGTCTTTCCCCCCAGTCCGTGATGAGCTGTCCACCAAAAGCCAGCCGGGTCTTCCTTCCTCCCAGCCCACACAAGGCAGAGGCCCCTACTGTTCCAGCAGCAGCCCAAAGTCCCCAGAGGCTCCAACGACAGGAGCAGACCCACACCAGTCCGGCCCCCAAACCTGCACCAGTCCCCCAGAGCCCTGTGAAGAGCCAGCCTCTGACCCGGCCTCAGGAAGTGCTGTCCAGTCCACACAAACCACAAATCCGCACCAAGCCTTCGGAGCTGAGCTGCAGCTATCAGGAGAGGAGCGCCGGAACGCCCAGTATGTTCATTAAAATGCATTCTAGTGTCTGTTTTCAAAACTTTTCTCATTGAGGAGAGCCCCCACTGTCTCATTAGATTAGACTAGACTGGCACTTCACGTTTGGCATTATTTCCTCCATTTGAAATAATGAATGTATAAACTTAATGTTTAGACCAGACGTTCTATTACATTATTTTGACTCCAAAAAGTACTTGCTGGGATATTGTCAAAATGGAGGATGATGATGGATGAAGTGTTGCTTTACAACATAAGAACCTGCAGCTTATATTGGTCTTAGATGTGGCCGAAGCAAGTAACAAAAACATAAAATTTGGCTGGTGTGGAAAGAAATTTTTTGATACAATTATTTAGTGGAGGGCATGGTAAGATCCTACTTGAATAGTTTTTTCTCTGATCTAATCTAGGGTTATTCACACGTTTGTCAATGTCAACTTTATTTGTATGGCACATTCGCAACAGCACCAGCTGCCCAAAGTGCTTCACAGGCACGAAAGATGAAAAATAAAATGGTATAAAACACATACACATACATGTAAAAGTACATGCTTTTCTACTCTATTGGAAATGGAAAATGTAAATGACTAAAAGAAATGCAGACTTTCCCTAAACACTGCCTGGTCTATTTTGCGTAGCATTTTTCTGACTACATATATAGATAAATACTTTATTGATCCCCCATAGGAGAAATTCAGGTGTCCAGCAGCAGAAGACTCTTTTCTTGTCGTTGTAGTACAGTTAGTCAGGTTTGTTATACAGTCTGACAGCCAAAGGAACAAAGAATCTTTTGAAACGTTCCGTTCGGCAGCGTAGCGATAGGAGCCTGTTGCTGCGTTTACTCCTCTGAGCAGCCATAGTGTCAATATTCATTGTGAATATTCATTGTATTGTATTCCTTGTTCAGGTGTGAAGTCTTTCCTGGAGCGCTTCGGAGAAAAATGCCAGGAGCGCTCCAACCAGAGCACACCGAGTGGGCGGAGTCAGCCAAAGACCCCCGCCGTGACCTCAGCGGTGACCCCCAACACCCGGATGGTCCAGGAGAAGCTGCGTGCCGCCCAGGCCGCCAACACCACCTCTGCAGACCTCACCCAGAGACACAAGATGGTGGGTCCCTTATGTTGGCTATTACCTCCACTTATCTGTTATGTCCAAGCACTAAAGCTTTCAAAATGAGAAAAAGTCCAAAAATACTATTCTGTTCTATTGGCAAATCTTCAGGTTTTTTTTTAAAACTTCTTTTGTCCCTTTTTTGTTTGCAACTAACAGAAATAATTGCAGTGTTTGCGGTTCACTGATTGCTAATAGCTCAACTTGATTGCAGCCCTAACATTTCATGATTTATCCCAAAAGATGTCATAGTTAAACCATTATTCACTTATTATTCAATCATTTAGTATTTAACATTTTTGTATGCATTGTATCGGTTAACAGTGTATGCAATAACACAACAGAATGCTTGGACAATATTTTCTCAATGAGTTCCCATTTGTTCATAATTCCAGGAGCGCGAGTCGGAGCTGGCTCAGATCCGAAACCGCTTCCAGAAGGCCAACAACATGTGGAAGAACAAAGACGAGGGCTCGGACAAGACCAGCTCAGATGCAGTGGTCAGTGAAAATATGAATTCCTCTGTTTGTTGTTTGAGTGAAATATTTATAGATTAATATTTAAAAAAAAAAAAAAAAAGCTACATTTTTTTCCTTTTGTCTCAGAAGTCAATGAACCAATCCGAGATGAGTGACGCACCGTCCTCACAGTCAGAAGAGCCAACAGCGCCCTCTGGTGAGAACTCGGAGAACCTCCATAAGTACTGAATTGGATCAACTTTTCATTGCAATTCTGTTTCTACTTGTTACCAATTGGATTATTAATTTGGATTTTTTTGTATCAGTTGCCATAGTGGATATATTCGAAGTCACAAATTCTGTCAACATTTTTATGATTCCGTTACTGAATGCCATAGTGTTGTATTTATTTGAACCCATATTAGCTTCGACAAAAGGTTGCTCATCTTCCCTAGGTACAATTTTTATAAATGAGCTGAGTTATTTTTCTAGAGGTTTAAGCTTTAGTCTCTCAGATATTCAAAATATTGAGTTTCTTGGGCTTAGTTTAAAAGAATAAGACCAAAAATTCAAACTTTGAACTGCTGAATTTACTTACAGAACATTAAGTATGAGGAAGACAGTCTAGCACAACAAGAAACAAAGTATAGATAAAATGCTATACATGTACTTGTATGTATATAACTGTAATACACTCTAGTGCAAGATCATTTTGGCAGTAAGTCATTAGCTTTGAGGGTTCAAATGTTCACAGTATAAATGAAACTAGGGCAGGAGGATTGGGACGGAATAAACATTTTTAGATTTTCAACACAATTTCCCTTTTTTTTCAAGAAAATGTAAATGCATCCTTGCACCTTACATTGTGGAAGGCTGTCCCTGGCACAGTTTTTAAAAGGCAAATTGCATTTTTCTTGTCTCCTTGATTTGAATGAACATCAATATTGAAATTAATAACATCGTTTTGATTTTTGGCACAGCCTGAAATTAAAGCAGAAGTGGTATTAACATTCTCAAACCACTTTAGGATTCCTGGACTCGCCTCCCGCTTCCACATCCAGCCCCCTCAGAGCAGCCGCCCCTCTGGCACCCGAGCCGGTCCACAAAGATCCAGAGGAGACAAAAGCCGAGGAGGACAAGCAGACGGAGACGGAGAAGGTGAACGAGACAGAGATGAACGTGGACGGGTCAGATTGCAGCGAGCAAAACGTGGACTCCATCAACTCTGCCGTCATCAACGAGCTGTTCCAGGGCGTGCTGGAGCAGAGCGACGACTACACCGAGGAGGAGGAAGATCCGCTCAACATCTCCTCCATGTCCCTGCTGGCCCCTCTGGCGGAGACTGTGGCGGCTGTGGTCAAGAGTCCAGACAGGATGATGGTGCGTGTCGTCGACCACCTCTGGCACTTGACACAGGACATGCTATTCAGAACATGCCATTATATCATTACAAAAGATATTCAATTGAATGGAGCCACATTTTAGTCTTTAAGATGCACTTGAGTTTGTCTTGTCAAAATAAAAATAAAATCAACTCTACTTCGATCCTAAAGCAAAGATTCTAGACTCTATACCAAATTTCCCGTCGGTAAAATCTAGTTAATACACATTATAAAAGGAGCATTTATAAAAATTGCAACCTCAGCTGTGACGTAAAATCCACCCCAAACAGCATTATATAGAAGTCTATACAATTCTGTGACCCATCTGGGATCTAAAGTGGAAGATTATTTAAAAGCACCATCAACACTTGATATTGATTTTTGCCTCAAATGGGTATAATAGGAGTTGGTAAGAAAAACCAGCGATGGTGTAAACTAACCCAAATTTGACCCAGGTTCGACTAAAGTATTGCACTTAACAACCCTTTAGTATAATAAATAAGAAACACAATCAATATATATGGTGCTGGTGGCTAATGATGGTTTCCCCCTCACAGACCTCTACTCCGGCCAGCTCTTTCATTGTAAAGAGCCCTCTGGACAAAACCCCCAGGACCAAGCTGAGGCGGTCTCTTTCGTCAGACAGCATCCACGTCCTCAGCCCAGAGCACCGGCTGCCTTACAGGTACCAGCGCACAGAACCAGAGCTCCCTCCCAAAGAAGCTGCAGCAATGACCAGAGTTCTGCTTTGTTTTTGTCTCAGCATCGACGCGTACAGATCCACCAGAGTGAAGGACACGGAGAGGCCGAGCATAAAGCAAGTGATTGTGAGGAGAGAGGAGGTATCCCAGCGAGCAGATGAGGCCAGAGGCTCCAGTCTGTTCAGTGTCAAGCAGAGGATGAAGGTGCGATTGTCTGCTCACTGTTTAACGCCGATTTGAAATAATAATAAGATAGTTTGAGCACAATTTCCTTATATGGGCATTTGTTCTGATGGCGTTACCTTCACGCCATAATAAGGGCAGATGTGCTGCTAACATGGTTCCTACGGAAAACTGGAGTTGAAGGAATCTGATAGGCCTTATATTTACATACTCAAACTTTATTGATCCCAAAGGGTAATTCATTTGCAGCAGAATCTCTGAGAACTTTGAGACTGTACACAAGCACAGACTATACACACAAACGCACATTGAGTCTGGCCTCACAGATCACACAGCAGCAGGTTGCAATAAAAGTTAAAAACTATACAATAAAATACACAATTCCCAAAAGTCAAAGTCAGTTTTATGGCAGAGAGCACAAGATAAATGGAAATATTAACACCAGCACCACACAGGGCACTAAGCCATGGCTTTTTTGAGCCCAAAATTGTCTTATTACATCATTTGCATGGTTACAGGCATCCTTTTAAAACAACACAATGACACAAATGTAGTTTTTCAACAATGGGGTTAAAACTAAAGCAAGGACATTAGACCATTTCAGTCTAGATTTGAAATGAGAAACCTTATCACCTATACCATTCCTTCATAATTCTTAATTAATTCTTATTTCATAGTCTCCTTTTGACCTGTGTTTGGTGGCAGGTTCTGACCAGTGAGATGACCATGCAGCAGACAGTGATCCACCAGGCCAGCCAGGCTCTGAACTGCTGCACAGACGAGGAGCACGGGAAAGGCTCTCAGGTGGAGGCCGAGGCGGAGAGGCTGCTGCTGGTGGCCAGTGAGTGCCCACAGAACAATACTTGTACATTTTATATCATTTATTTGAGTTGGGACGATGCACATCATCAACATTGACGCCTTAAGTGTCAACGTATTACCAAACAAAAAGCACAACCATCTGCTCTTGTGTAAGAGATATGTCAGTTGAGCTGTCAAGAACTTAATCCTAAATCATTTTGAATTTCTTTTGCTTTTGACTTTATTCAGTTTAATTAGGGATGTTACAATAATTGTGATTCTAAAATGTTATATTGTAAGAAAAACATTGACTTCAGTTTTTCATTTACATTGCAGTCCAAAGGAAAACTACAAATACATATTCTAGGCTTGTTAACTTTTTGTATGAGATTATCCCATTATTTTGTTCTGACATTTCACAATCCTAAAACCTGAAAAAACTAAAATGATGATTAAAATAGATTCTGTATGCTAAAATACATACAGAATCATTTTGTGATTTTATTTGTATGAAATCCATCTTTTTATGTGATGAATTTAATGTGATAAAAACTGAAGGAAAAAGCAAAACCAAGCTGATAATCTTGACATCTCGAGGACAGATGAAACAAAAAACCAGTAAAGTTTTTAGCTGAACTTAAAAAGTAAAGAATCCCCCATTGTACTTAGTGTTGAAGTAGTTCTGCATGTTGTAATCTGAGTGTTCCTCGTGCAGCCGAGAAGCGAGAGGTCCTGAAGGCGGAGCTGGACCGCCTCAAAGGAGACCCGTCCGCACAGAAGAAAGCTGCGGCTCTGACCGAGGGGAGCGGGCTGCTGGCGTCCCGGGGCTCTCTCACCCTGCACGAGCTCCGACTGCCCCTCAAGGCTGACTTTGTCTGCTCCACCGCCAACAAACCTGGTAACAGAACTGGAGCTAAAGTAGAGGCCTGACTCTAGCACCTGGGGTCTGACTAATAAGATGGTAAAATGGAATAAAATAATATAAACTCGGAAGCTATAATTGCACTTGGTTCAGAAGTATTTACAGATGTGTATATTGTACTTTAGCAGCGGAGAATATGAGTAGAGTAAACAATAGTAACAATATCAGCAGGTAAAGTGACTAGTGAATGATGGAATATATAATACATGATGGGAAACCTCAAAAGGGAAAAAGTTTTAATCAGATTTTTTTAAATTAACCTAACCTGCACTATATTGGTAACTTTTGTTTGTGGTTTTATCTATTCATCATTGATGGATAATTGCCTGTCATATAATTCTACACTACTACTCAAACAATTGCATCACGCGGTCAAAATGGCAGAGGTCAATTCCATGTTTGTGTCTTTTCAGCCTCAAAGTTGATCTTGGTTTGCTTTCCTCTCGGTAGAATCGGCCAGCAAGCACTCGTTCTTCGTGATGATCCGTGCCGGAGCCGAGCACACGGTGGCCACTCCTCTGGCCAGCACGCACAGAGGGCTGAGTGGAGACACGCTCACCTTCCCCACAAAGTTCTCCATGTAAGACTTTAGCACACAGAGATTTAAACCTGCCTTTTGTTGGACTAATATCAGTTTCATTTGTGTTTGTCTGTCCAGGGCCGACGTCTCCAGTGACTTTCAAATCATGATCGAAGTCTACTGCTTTGTAAGTGTTATATCTATTTAGGTATCCAACATTTAATTCAGAAGAGGAAGTGGTGGTAGCTGTATAAAGCTGGGACATTTATCTTTCAAACTGCAAAAGATTTTATCTCTGTATTTCACATGTGTGTGTGCTTTTGGCCTCTCACATCTTTAGAGTCACTATATGATGTTTTCGGGAGGGAGGTGATTTGCATGGAAAATGTTATAGGTCTGGCATGTGCCTCCTATATGGCGACCCTGCTCCAATCTCTGTGGAGTAAGAGACAAATGCCCCAAAAAACCACTTGTAAAGCGCTTTGTGACTCTGGTCTGTGAAAGGCGCTATATGAGTAAACATTACAGACTTCCTTAAAAAATGAAGGACCATCTTCACTCATCCAGTCAGCTCTTTGCCCAAAGCGCCAAATAGTGACTCACCAGGCTTTTAAAAGAAACTATCTAAAAGATGCATGTAAGTACCCCAGTTTGTGGATTTAGATGACAAAGAGAAATGTACTTGTTACATTTGGGTGTGCAAAAGACAGGAAATGTGCAAACATGTGAAAAGATGTAGAGTATCTTAGTGCGATAAGGTATTTAAAAAGCATAGTTGCCAAATTTAACAGCCTTCCCGTTATTCAACCATGTATTCAACCTGCATATGGTTTAATATTTTCTCTTGTTCCAGGTTCAAAAGCGAGAGATCTGTGCTGACAAGAAGAAGAAAGTCAGCAAGTCGAAGGTAAAGGCTCTTTTGTTGTTAGGATTTTGTACTTGAGCGATCGCGCGTGAATAACTGTCACTCTGTCGCGTTCAGATGATGTGGCAGCAAGTGTTTGAGGCCCATGACTTGTGCATGTCGGTATGAACTGTACTGGAATATGGGGAGAGGATTTCCACATGGCTGTGGGGCTCTGGACTTTTTCATCAGTGACTGAGGGCATTCACCTGGTGTCACAGCATTCTGACAGAGTGCTAGTTTTTAACGTGCGCAGATGATTTAAAGAAGAAATATTATGCAGCATCAATTTTGTTGAGATTTTATAATACTGTTTCTTATTTAAAAAAAAAAATCACGATATGAAAAGGACATAACAAAACATTTACTTGAACTAGCAATGTGTAAGATTTTTTTTAATGATGTCAAGTCATTATGGCAAAAGGCTTTCAAAATCATGGTCTTTTCATATACTTCTTTAACTGACAACAGTAGTTCAGGCGGGACATTCAAATTTAAAAATTGGATTTACAACACCTGAATCTGTCATGGCTTGGCTATTCTGCTATTCCGGTTCTAGCTGGATTCGTCTTCATATCTGGCAACTTGAGAGTGCAGCACCACTTTTGGCCAGATTTGTACATATTGCTCCTTCAACTTAATTCAAAAAGTATATAAAAACACTATAATAACTGTCTTGTCTGTCGGAGAACTGTTTGGTTACACATGGGTTCTTGGACTCTTTACAACACATGGTTGTTTTTGAAGCCATTTATTTAAAACATTTGACTCCTCCCTCTGGTAGCATAGGGAGCTACAGGAAAGCTTTTTTTTTTTTAAATCATCCGTATAGTTTCTAATGAAAGCATCATTTCTCGTTCTAAAACAAGGTGAATAGTGTGATTATACTTTTTATTGGCCAAATATAATGCATAATATTTCTTCTTAAGTAACACATATTCTGCAAAATGGCCTTTATAGATTTTTGCCATGTTACAACATTTTTTTCCTCATTAAAAACTAAAATGCATTCTTTTTTTCCACAGGCTATCACTCCAAAGAGATTCCTTGCCATTTCCAAAAGTGGCCAGACACCAGGTTTGTACATGATCTTGAAAGCTCTCCTCTATATTTTAACACAGACGTAACCTGTGCATTTGTCCCCCGCAGTTATGGCTAGTCCCGGAGGTCCCAACGCGGTCCGAACCAGTAACTTTATCTTGGTGGGCTCTCACAAACTCACCCTGGCCTCCATCGGGAACAACAAGTTTCCTCTAGAAAAGGTAAAACACAACTATATTTTTAAACAAATATTGATAATAGGTTGTTGCAAAGCGACATTGGCAGGCGATAGCATCTTATTCGCAACAATTGTGCTTTTTTCTGGACTTTCGTTAAGGACCAAATTGAACATTTTAGTCCCGAGTATTTCCGACAGATCTTTGTCATATGACTGTGAGACTCGCAAAATGTAGAATATTATTAATTTATTCCTGTTATTAAACTTGTCTCACTCACTACACAAAGAGACGTATGCCAAAATTTAGAATTTTTTTACTTTTTTTTTTTTTTTTCAAGCTGTGAGACGAGTATGACATTTTAAAGGCTCCATATATCTCGCTGTGTGTGTAATGAGTTCTATATTAGTTTCACATTAAGTTTAATTGCAAAAGTAAATAAAAAAATAATTCAAGGTTCTCACAATCTAGGGTTTTGAGATTTGTCACGCCCACTATTTACTATTTAAAGAAGCTATACCCAATTTTTTTTCTAAGTAGTTCATAAAAATGCTTTTTACTACATACAAGTTGTATCAGAATACATAATTTAATTGAAAACTTGAGGTCATTGATTCAGCTGTGTAAGAATTACAAGCAGTGAAAAGTGCTGAGTAGAGTCTGAGCGGGCCGTTTGTTCTCCTCCACTCACAGAACGACCAGCCTGCGTCCTCTAGCCTCTACAGCGCTGCTTAACAGAAGGGCTTCGACTTCAAAATTCAAATATAATTCTAAAATTAAAAATGTGTGTATAATATATATATAATATATATATATATATATATATATATATATATATATATATATATATATATATATATATATATATATATAACAATGACAATGACAGCCCTTATAATTCGAAATGTATTAAATGACTGCAAATAAAATAGTTAGCTCCCAAAGGTCTCACCGGGACGTGCTAGGCAGGTAACAGCTAAGCTAGCTAGCTGTTTCATGGTAACTTCCGGGTTTTTCGCAATCGCTTTTTGTCACTTTAAAAAAGTATTTTTTGTCATGAAAACGTTGACAGCAAATTCTGAAATCGTCCGTGCATGTGTTTTAAGGATGTATATGTGTACTGTATTGTCCGATTGACGTTTAATGTTGTTGATTGATTGATATGTAGTTGTTTATTGAGCTAGCTTCTCTACACAAACAAGTGTGCAGAAAAACTGCAGAATGTAGTGACAGGCGCTGATAGCTTGTTGTACTTGCAAAGTAATGGCAGTATTTTACACACCTGAATTACAAACAGAGGTTGCATTGAGGCTGCGGTCATTATTGGTTTGAGAGTTCTGTTATCAAGAAAAAATTATCGGAAGAATTGCATTCAAGTCAATGGAGTGCTGCTGCTGTGAGGAGCTGTATAATACATTATAATTAAATATTAGAATATATACTAATGTTTAAATTAATACATTCGGACTCGAAACTAACGGTATTCTTTAACTTATATATTGTGTTAGCAGTGCATTGCTTTATTGCTGTTTAATCAGTGATTGATGTACAGCTTACAAGTTGCGCTAATGTTAGCATACGTATAAGATTGCAAATAAAACTAGGTGGCTCCGTGTTATGAGAGCGCAGGGGAAATGAGAAGCCTGTGAGTGAGTTGGGGGGCGGTGCTAAACATTCAAACATTGCAGAAACGGGTATAGCGCCTTTTAATCAATGAACAGAACAGTTGTTGGCGACCAGAGGGATTCTTGGTCGACTCCAGCGCGATGGTAGTTTGTAGTTTGTGGGATTCTTGGTCGACTCTTGTAGTTCCGCCATGCTCCACCAGAGGCGTTTGGCTGAACCACATGGTTCTGGTATCAACGCCATAGCGAACGCCTTCCCCAGATTAGTTTTTAATCGACCAATCAGGATTGCCGGTGTTACGTGGGGTTTGCACTGCCTTCTCAAGCTTCTCTCATGCAGCAGCGAGAGGAATCCAAGATGGCGGACGTAAAGTCCGGGAATCTTTTTAAAAGAGTAAATACGATCAAATTAAGACACGGATGTCACTTTTAATGCAATTTGAGGCGAGAAGTAGATGGTTCTATGTTGATATATATGTGGTTTAAGAGTCAAATGTTCCTGTAAAGTTTGGTTGAAGCACTGGTTCAGTGTTCCTGTTTACACACTATGCAGCAGGGTTGCCAGGTTTGGTGGTTCCCGCATATTTTTTTCCAAGAGAAAAAATTTGAGTATTTTTGTGTGTGGGTATTCTCGCGGATTTTGGGTTGGAAAATCTTGCTGGGATTTGGCAACCTATGGGAGCCGTGTGCTTCGATGTGAGTGGTTGAAAGCAGACTTGATTCAAGATAATGGACAAGTGGTCTATCCAATCACATACAAGGATTTTTTTTACAAGGCCCTGCCTTCTGAAATCCAACCACTATGGCTCAGTACCAGACTCATGTGTGAAGTGCAGCGAACTGCATGGGTCTGGCGAGAGTCAGGCTAGCGCGATGGCACATACAATTCAAATGTGTGTTTCTGTCTGTTTCTGCTCCAATCCAGAGATGTTCAGCTCGATGTCAAATGTCAGTCATAGATGGATAGAAATAATCTAAGATGGAATTCGTTTTTATTCGGTAAACTCTCGGAACTATCTGGAGTTATCAGTTTTACAGAGAGCCACTTCACCCACATGCCAATAAAACTGCCCTATTGCTGCTTTCTTGCTGCTTTAGGATTCAAGCTTCACTATTAAAGGGGACATAACTGCTTTTGCTAACGTTCTAGCTATGTATGCCAGAGGCAAGGGGGAGAAATGTGCTGATCTCTAACTTGATTCCGTCATGATGTATGACAAGCTGAGACACGACATGACATCAAATAGGTTGATGCTTGTTATGTCCTTTTTAGCGGTTGAAAAGACTTGGCTTATTCCTCCCACAGTAATTTCTGCATTCACTTTTTTTTTTTTAGATCAAATGTGAAGGAAGCGAGAGAGAGCTTCTCGGTGACAGTTTTCTTAAACAGGTTATTGCTCCCTTCGCTTTTGGCTGCTGCTTTGGGAATGCGCTGCGATCCACTAACCAAATCTCTGCACCATAATCATACTAACTTAAAGCTGGACTACCTAAGTTTCTGTTGTTACTTCACACATTTAGTTTGTTTTAAAGCTTGACTGAGTTTTTTCTCCATGTTACGTTGTTTCTCATAAAAAACAGGCCTGGAGATGTTTTTAGATCCATCCACACTAATATCAGCAACTTCAGGCAGAAACGTGTAGCCCCGCCCCTTCTGTCTAAAAGCTCCTGTCTCAGTCCCGTAATATTTTCATGTCATCGTACCACTATGACATCACACTTTTCTGCCTTGTCATTCGTCTAGGGAAATCACGCTCTATAAATTTAGGGGTGAAGGCGGTGACTAATTCTACTCCCTCTGGTGGTCGCATAGGGAGTTGCAGGCAGAAAGCAGTTCTAACCTTCATACTTCACCATTTAGGATATTTTTTCACATTCTAAAACATGAAATGACAAGATAAATGGTACAATTTATAATATTTCTGTTTTGTGACTAAATCAGACCACCTCATGTTGTCTTTCTTTCAATCCCTATGAAAGATGACTTGTTTTCTAGTGAGGGCTGGTACTTTTTCAGCGAACATACATAAATGTGATGGCGCCAAACTGTTTTGAGAGGGAGGCACTAGTTTAACCTTTATTTTATTAAAGACAACGCAGTTACATTAAAAAGATGGCTGCACCATGCTCTGTAGTCCTTGATACAATCATATAAAGTACATATTTAAAATACAGTTCAATAAAAAGTTACCAATGTTGCATGGATTTTATTACGAACATACTAGGGCTGGTAATTAAGCTTGTTCGAAATATTTATTTTGACTAATACATGCTTGTAATAGCTACAGTCGTGAGTACAGACAAAAAAAATATTCTGACCAGTTCTTAAACAGGATAATTTATCTCAGCATGATTGTCTGTGATTGAAGCAAAAAAATCCACATTATCCATCTAAAAAATGTTTGTAGATTTTTATTTATGCATGCCTTCTTGTTTTTATTCTGCTTTAACTTGTTTGCACCGAGAGCCAAAGTAATTTCCTAGTTTGCGACTTCCTGTTACTCACATGGCAATAAAAAGCATTCTGATTCTAATGCACACACTATCATGCCATTTTGATATTCAAACTTTGAGGGCTGTCTAATATTCGTTCGAATGTTATTATTTTTGTTATTTTCAAAATGTGTTCAATTACCAAATTTAGTTTTCTCAACCCTAATGCATACTGTACATAGTTTATTTATTATTATGGTTTCAAAGTTAGGTACTCCAGCTTTAACTTTAAGTGATGTTTGATTTTGCTTTTCAGTAAACGTTTTTATTCCAGCTACTTTGAACTGTTTTTGCTGACGGAATGCCTCTGCTCCAGGTTCCTTTCTTGTGCCCGCTGGAGGGTCACATCTACATGAAGCTGCAGTGTGAGGTGGGCTCCCGAGTGGAAGAGAGGGGCTTCTTGGTGAGTGCTTTTGGGGATGCACTTTTGAATTTGTGTTTTTTGATGATTTGTAATGTTATTGTTTAATTCCACAGACGATGTTTGAGGACGTGAGTGGATTCGGGGCGTGGCACAGAAGGTGGTGCGTCCTCTCGGGTTACTGCGTTTCCTACTGGACCTATCCGGACGACGAGAGGAGAAAAGTGAGATTCCTGAACTTTCTCAAACCCTTGTTTTGATTTAATGTTTAAGCCAGTTTGTGTTCGGCTCTGTCCAAGTTCATTAACAGAAAACCTTTTATAAGACAAGGTAGCTTCTTATTTAGACTAGTGAAGTACCGGTAGAAAGATTTTTTCAGTATGTACATGGAAGCATGCTGTGGGTTTTGGATGCAGCCGTAGTCTTGGCTTGTTTTCATGTTTTTTTCGTGATTGTTGCTTGTATGAGTTTCTAATGTGCTCAAGTAATTGAAGTAGTATTAATCTGAGATAAATACTATTTAATTCCGACAGGGTTTGCTGATAGAACAAACATTAAGTTGTGTGTTTAAAACAAAGACATTTCTCACTGGACAGTAAACATAGCTGAAGTTAAACTAAAGCCACTGGTTCCATTGACAAAGCGTATTTAAAATCCTCATTAATTTTCCTTATTAGAAGTGGGAAAATTAAACGGGGACATGCAGGTGTTGAGAATTGGAATCAGCGGTTCTCCCTGGATGAAACTATATGTAACTGTGTAATTCCCCGTCAAATAATCCAAATAAATATGATCTAAATTCAAAGTTCTCTTTTAACTATCCCAACCACACTTATTGTACCTGAAATTACACAAATAGACCTGTTTTTGCACGTCCTTCTGAGTAACGTCATCCTCTGCTCAATCAGAATCCCATTGGCCGCATCAACCTGGCCAACTGCACGAGTAAGAGGGTGGAGCCGGCGAACCGAGAGTTCTGTGCGCGACCAAACACCTTTGAGCTGATCACGGTGCGGCCACAGAAAGAGGACGACCGCGAGACGCTGGTCAGCCACTGCATGAACACCGTGTGTGTCACCAAGTGAGTACTCTCTTATGGTAGGCCTTTCACTTCCTTTGAAGTGAAAAAGAGAGGACCACCCTCACTCAGCCAATGAGCTCTCAGTATGTAAACAAAAACATGATATCTATTTAATTTCCATTCAATTTCTTCTTGTATAGCCCAAGATCACAGTAGTTATCTCAAAGGACTTAACAAAACCGTTGAATTCACCAACATAGTTCAGAGAATCAATAGTTCAACACAAGAAATGCAACAATAAAAACGTATAGAGCCATTGGTCCATAAGGAGCAGATGACCAAAGCCCATAAGTGTTGTTGAATCTTTAGTGTCCTGGATCATCACCACTGTCCTTCTAGCTAGCCTCTAACAGACTCTGTTCACAAAATTATACTTGAACAAGACTTTCTCTTTAGATAAACCTAATGTATTTATGAAACAAAAACAGATTTGTCAATCCAGCTTCACACAGCTTAACTTTGTTTTTAAATGAGTTGTTTGAAACACAATTGAGTAAATGCTGCATAAAGATCACCAAAATATGAATTGGTTTCAGATCTTCGAATGTGCAAATGAAACCAAATTCTACTAATATAAAACATATGCACACCACCCCTGTTTAAACAAACGGCATGTTGTCCTGTGTTCTGTGTAATTATGACTGCAAGTTCTTATATGCATTATGCCTGGACAGGAACTGGCTGAGCGCAGACACGAAGGAGGAGAGAAACTTGTGGATGAGGAAACTGAACCAGATCCTGGTGGATTTGCGGATGTGGCAGCCGGACTCCTGCTGCAAGTCTTTATAAGTCACCACCACCAGCCGCGCTCTGGACTGGCACTACCAACACATGCAATTATGATGTGCAATACCAAATGACAATTGTTGAATAACTTGGGATTATTTCACTTTACACATTAGCCACAGGTATAACTTATAGAATGGAATGTGATAATATACAATACACTTTGAGACATTTCAGTATTCTGCGAAAGTCTGAGGGGCAGATTTTCAGTCTGTAATGAAGCGTATAAGAGGAACGTGCATGGTTTTATATATATTATGACGCCTGAATTACGTGTGAAATGGTTTTGAATTTGCAAAAGAATTTTAATATGATTCATAACTGCTGTATGTTTTATCCTGCATGGCGGCACGGCTCACGGCACTATCTAAATATAAAAGCGTTTACTGATTGCGGCAGGACTTTTCTACATTATCTATTCTTTCAGTGTGATTTTAATGTCTGTGTGTCATGTTTTTCATTGTTTACTTCTCACTGGGAAAGTTCGATGGAAGATTTGGTCACGTACAAACTAGTTTATCAAATGACTAGTTGTTTTGGGCTACTGCAGTGGTTACTATTCATAACCCTTCCATTGGACTTGATCCTGTCTTTTTGCTCCATTTTTAAATGTTTTTTTTAACTTGTTGATACAAAAGATGGCTGATTTTATGCTTGTTGAGGAACACAAATTTATACATTTCAACTTTCCAGGTCTTGTAAAACAACAATAAAAGCCTGCTTTGGAATTGATGTTTTAATGTTAATTTTATTGGATCTTATTGTGCACAATTAAAGTCAAAAATAAATCTGAGCTTCTAGTTGCACATTTGAGTTATTCTAATCTAATTAAGGCAACATATTGTCGCTATAGGCAAAGTTATATCCGGGAATTTATTACGTAACTCCGAAAATTCTCATGAAACAGGTGGAATGATGCAATATTTCAACAAACATATTAGAAACAATTTACATGTAATAAAATACTTTTTATTGCAACTTTTACGTGTTTATTGCTACTTGTACGTGTTCAATTTCAAATCAAATACTATTACTATGATTAATCTCACGACGGCAGTCAGATGATGCAACATTCCACCGGCATCAAGTTTGCGCTAACTCGAGTGTTTCCGGTTTAGCAATAAAAGCTGATGTTAAACAGACCTAACAGTTGTTGGTTAATCTTTCATGCTTTTAAGATGACTGAGTATTTTAACAATATTCTAAAAATTTAACATGCACTATCTTTGTGTCCATGTGGGACCAAGTATATTATTTTCTTTATTGTGAAGGCCGGAAGTTTGTAGTCATTATCTCAAGCTTTATGCACGTGCACATCCTCGCTGAAAGACTGGGTTCGTCCTCTTCTTCTACTTTGCTTTTATTATAGAGCAGGTAAGTGACTTTCTCAGTGAAAACCAGAGATTGTGTTTATAACTACTGGATTAGCTCTTATATAAGCCAAACGATCTGTAAAAATGTCAGTTACGAGCTTCCACATTCTCCATACGCACTTGTCTAACATTAATTTAGCGTTGACAGTGTTTCTATGAATTCTATATAGCCCTGATTACTTTCTGACGTGTTGCATATTTAGTTTTTATTTATATAAATCAAAAAATAAATATCAGATAATGTGGTCCACGTGGTGATTGAAGTGACAACATGGAAGCCTGGGAATATGTATATATACATTTATTTTATTTTTTATTGAAGGGGCTGATGTTTGGAATAGGGAGTGGTTTGAAACTGCAACAAAACCACTAACCCTGTTGGGAAACATGTTCCACAGTTCCAGATATTCAAGAGTTGAGTGTTAAACTTGTGAATATAGGTCCACGATCATAAACATCCTGAAATATCTCTTTAATAAAGACTGAGGAATCTACCCTACAATGCTGATATTAGTGCTTACCTGGAGTCCGGAATCATATTTGGGGAAAAAGTAAAATGACTGAGGTAATGTTTACTCTGTGACATTATGGAAAGTGAGTGTTTTCTTTGATGATTTGCCACTTTGGAAATATTAATACAATCTTAGGTGAACATTCCGTTACAAATACGTACTGTAATTAGATTACTTTTATAGTATTACAGTAACGCTCCTTTGTAAATACTTGATATTAGTAATTAGATTACAGTTCTCATTAGATTGGGGAACTCCAGACTGATGTGGTGATGTTTGTTATGTTGATATCTTTTAACAACATGAAATCCCATATATTATTTATTGATATGATAATTACTTTCTTTATACATTTCTGTGCTTTAATAAACAAACTGCTTTGAATAATCTTTAGCATTGATTCCACTTTCCCCTGGTGCGTGCAGCGGACCCTCGGCTCTGGACCATGTGTGGCATCTGGGGCTTGTTCGGCAGTGACGAGTGCCTGTCTGTACAGTGCACCAGTGCCATGAAAATTGCGCACAGAGGACCGGACGCCTTCCGCTTTGAGAATGTCGATGGCTTCACTAACTGCTGCTTTGGCTTCCACCGCCTCGCCATCGTGGACCAGCTCTACGGCATGCAGCCCCTACGCATCAAGAAGTTCCCCTTCCTCTGGCTCTGCTACAACGGAGAGATTTACAACCATAGCACTGTACATCCCTTTGTCAATACTTTAAAGCCTTCACTGCAAAAAATGATAAAATATGAAGTCATAATTGCTTGAATTGACAAGATTTGCTAATAGATTAGAATCAAAATAAATCAACAAAAAGTTACTTTTTATATAATGGTTTATTGTGCATATGTGCTTGATTGGCTATAGTTATTATATAGACTAAAATTTTATTACGACTGCTAAAAGGAGTAGCCCTCTGTCCTTTCTGTTTCACAAGAGTAGGTCTCCAATCGAAAATGGTTGTAAATTATCATGATAATCGCATATGCTATACCTGTGGTTAATGCATTCAATCAATCAAATTAATTTAATTTTCATACAAGGAATGCAACACTCAACAGTACACACACGCACACAAAACAAGATTTGCCAATACAATGTCAACAGAAAGTTGACATTGTATGGCTGGATTTGGCTTCATAATGCCTTCTCTTTAAGTAAAGAAATATGTAGATATTGATCTTTAGATATGGATCTTGTGTCTCTGCAGAGGTCATAAAAACCTCTTTCACATGATCTCTCCTGGACTCCTTCTGTACTAAAGTATTTATTCTGCTGTGCACAGCTGAGGGAGCAGTTTGGTTTCGAGCACCAGACCAACGTGGACGGCGAGGTGATGCTGCACCTCTACAGCCGCTTCGGGGTCCAGAAGATGGCCTCGCTGCTCGACGGGGTCTTTGCCTTCATCCTGCTGGACACGGCCAACCGCAAAGTCTTCATAGGACGAGACACGTACGGAGTCCGGCCCCTGTTCAAGCTCCTCACTGACGACGGCTTCCTGGCCCTCTGCTCTGAAGCCAAAGGTGATCGTGCCAAATCTCTTGTTATGGGCTATATGCACGGGGAGGCGTGACGTAATTTCCTGTTAACAAAGCACAGCCCGTTCACTTCCTGCCTATGCTATCCTATGGCATTTAGGTGAGTTTTAGTGATGTTTTTTAGTAATTAGATTGATACATTCAGCTGTGAGACTGACCCAAAAGTGATGCTGTGCTTTCTTTCTGAGGTAGAGCTTTGACTGGCCATTCAGAGCGATTTTTAAACTTTATAAAAACACAATGACAGCACAATCAAAGAGCACTGTTGTGTCCCAAAAATGCCTAGTATCCTCACAGTTTATTTGCCGTTTGAGCATTATTTGGGAAACTCGTGTAAACCACTGCTGAACTCCAGTGAAACTCAAGCCGTTTCCCGCTAACAGGAAGTGAGGTGGGGTTGTAGCTAAAACCCGGAATGTTTTAGCTACAACGTGCATAGAGCCCATTGTGGTATGATTGTTGATTGATTTCATTTTTTTATATTTTTACAAGAACATTCATACAACAAACAGCAAAAAGATGTGGAGAGATACATTGTTTTGTGCTTGTGTGTGTGCACAAAGTTATAAAACTGACTAAATAATGAAAGTAACAGACAAGGGATGAATTCGGTCGGTGTGTGCCTTCCTTTGTGTGTCAAAGACCAGACACCCTTGGTCTGTTCGCCATAACTGTAAACACTGTCAACCCTGCGTCGCCTCCTCCTCACAGACAGAACGACACGGGTCAAAAACATGGGCATTTAACCCGCCTTGTGCCCTAGTCTTCTTGCCAAGGCGTGTTCAGTCTACAGATTATAGGAGTCATTTTGACAGCAATAAAACCAAACTGTCACACGAGGGACAATACTTTGCATAATGAAAGTGTGACGAGCGTACGAGGAAAGCTCAGAGTTTGGGCTGTTGCATGTGCTGCTGTTTCCTTTCTAAAGTTGTCCTTGTCAAAAATGTGTGAAAATGTTTATATTGCTTCATGTGGATGAGAAAGTTACTGTAGTCCATTACCAGCTCAAAAAAACTGTTCTGACTGAAAACACCTTTAGGTTCAAGGTGATGATCATTATTTGATGCTGTATTTTTACAAATTTGAGAGAATTTTTAGATACTACCTTATTCTTGGAAAGCAAAGGAAGGTTTCTCACCCATCATCTGTACTTCTTAGCAAGTTTTCCCGACGTTTCGTCCTCAACCTGGGGACTTCTTCAGGGAATGAATTCTCGGACCGCGCGTTGGAGATTTATAACCTATGGGTGTGGTAAGCCACACCCTAATCCTGATACTAACTCGCAAACAATCTACGGTCTGCTTGATGTAGAAGGGAGCAGGTCTAACGACCCTGCTGAGGCTAACGACCCTAACTCCTTAGCATGTCACAGACCTATTGTCTGCTGGGATGCTCAAGTGGAGTGCAGGTCTCACCCCTCCTAACTCATTAGCATGTCACTGACCTTGTCCCAAGTTAGGGCGTTGTTTTTAGGATGTCGTCATAGATGCGAGGCAAAACAAATCTTAACCCTCCTCCTCTGTTAAGAGAAGGTTTTTGTTTCCTCACAAAAATGGCTTCTTTCACTCCTCTCTCAAACCAATTCTTCTCCCGAGCCAGAATTTTAACCTCTGTGTCATCCACCGTGTGGTTGGAGGCCTTGAGGTGGAGATGAACAGCCGACTGTGGCCCACTAGAGTTTTCTCTACGATGTTGGTAAAGTCGTTTCTGTAGAGTTTGTTTGGTTTCTCCAATATAGTGGTCAGTGCACTCCTCTTCACTACATTTAATTGAATACACCACATTGCTCTGTTTGTGTCTGGGTGTTTTGTCTTTGGGATGCACTAATTTCTGTCTTAACGTGTTGAAAGGTTTGAAATACACAGGGATTTTGTGTTGCCTAAAGATTCTTTGTAGTTTCTCTGAAACTCCCGCCACATACGGTAAGGACACCCCTCTTCTTCTACTTTCTTCTGTCTGTTGGACTGTGTCTCTGACCTTTCTCGTCCTTTGGGCTTTAGTAAAAGACCACTTGGGGTAGCCACATCTGGAAAGTGCTCTCTGAACATGTTTGGTTTCTCTGTTCTTTCCCTCCGAGCTTGTGGGGACCTGGTGGGCTCGGTGTTGAAGCGTTCTAATGACCCCGAGTTTGTGTTGTAGCGGATGATTTGAATCAAAGGCCAAGTACTGGTCAGTGTGAGTGGACTTTCTGAAGACCTCAGTCTCTAATTGTCCGTTCTCCAGTATGATGACCTTACAAAACAACGCCCTAACTTGGGACAAGGTCAGTGACATGCTAATGAGTTAGGAGGGGTGAAACCTGCACTCCACTTGAGCATCCCAGCAGACAATAGGTCTGTGACATGCTAAGGAGTTAGGGTCGTTAGCCTCAGCAGGGTCGTTAGACCTGCTCCCTTCTACATCAAGCAGACCTGAGATTGTTTGCGAGTTAGTATCAGGATTAGGGTGTGGCTTACCACACCCATAGGTTATAAATCTCCAACGCGCGGTCCGAGAATTCATTCCCTGAAGAAGTCCGCTAGGTTGAGGACGAAACGTCGGGAAAACTGGCTAAGAAGTACAGATGATGGGTGAGAAACCTTCCTTTGCTTTGACTAATCCCTGTACGACGGAGGGCTTACACAAACTTATTCTTGGAACATATTTTGAAATTTTGGGGAACTAAATGTCTCTCAAAGAATATTAATTTGTTGGTAGTTTGCTCTGTCTCTGGGTGGAAACTCAACGTTGCAAAACAAACTCGAAAAAAGAAACTCACCGTCCTCTGCCTTGGACGGCGTCTCAAAGCCTCTGTCTGTTCCTGTCCTCAGAGTTGACACACTGCTCTGTGGCTCTTTGACACAGAAGGACTGTTACCTGGTTAAAAATTATTATAAAAATTACAAATTAGCTTGGCTCTTCTATAAAGCCTCTAAAACCAGTCCAACCAGTCAATAGAAAACAAACAACTCTTTCAAAGGAATTTTATTTTTGATTTTTTTTTTGAATTGCAGAGATTCTATTTTTTACATAGAATTTAATGCCACTCCATGTCCAATGTCTAAGGTCATCTGGTGAGGCATTAATGCAGGCCAGGCAGTGAGACTTCCCAGGGACTTTTCCAGTCTGTATGAAAGGCGTCATGGTCTTCTCCACAGCCTTCACCTCAGATGCAGACCATGGCTTTCTTACACGTTCTAGGGAGAGAAATAACAATATATTAGCAATATACACTCCCAGGGTTAGGACCAAGCAGCCTGGCTGTAATCCCCCACCTGGTACACTTACCAGAAGGGGCACTGCCACTACCATGGGGTGCATCTGGATGAATGGTTGAAGGTTCTCCGCTTGAAGTTTCTTTTAGCCCGTCCGTTTGTGAGAGGATCTCTACTGCTCTCCCTGTAGCACCGAAAATAAAAATACAAGTGGCCTTTAAGGGCAAAAAATAATACATATTAAATAATAATAATAAAAATAATAATATCAAGAATTACCTTCAGGCTCAATTTGTATCTGGTCGAGGCTCTTTCCTTTGAATTCCGTCACTCTTCCCTGCTCCATGGCCATTAACACTTTGCTGATTTTGGCCAGCTCCAGTGTCCCCTCTGGTAGTCTGTAATATTGTCTGTGGATGCGAATGTCATGGCCGAGGAAGTTGGCAAGTATGTCCATCTCATTCTCTTTCATATTGAGAACTGTAGACATAGTAGCTATGTGCTTTCTAAGTTTGGTTGAGGATAGCATCTCTGGATGCACCGCACCACATTCTTTGGCTTCCTGCCGTAGGGAGTCTGATCCCCTGATGTGGGTGTCTGCGCCCGGGCGGGAGAAGAAGTATGGGTTATGGTCAGAGATGGAACAGGCCCTTCTGTTCTCCACCAGCACCTCCATCGAAGCAATCATTTCAGGAGTCAAAAGAACCGGCACTTTCCGACTTCTTTTCCCTTTAATTTCAATTAGTTGAAAATGCTGACACAGCTTTATCTCAAGTTCGGACAGTCCCAGAGCAATGTCAGAATGGATTCAGACCAAACGCGATTTCTGCGGCCAAATCGCGTCTATTGCGCGGCTTGGGCCGCTTGTGACAAATTGTGGCAGCCGTTGTCACAGAGAAACTTGGCCGCGCGGCCAGGACACTAGAGGGCAGCCGCTGTCACAGAGCGTTGAGAGCGTTTAGGGGCGGGGCTTGTCTCTTTTGCCTGTAGCTTCCCAACATGGATGTCAGCGAAGGAGTTGCTTTATCTGATAAATAAAGCCAGACACGTCGTCAAAGGGCGAATCAACGACGTGTCTGGATTCATCAGATAGTCCGTAGACGGTTGGAGTTTGGTGAGTTTCACCATTTGCTCCGGAAGCTGCGCTCGGATGAGGGTCGCTTTCAGCGGTACTTTCGTCTCTCCCTGGCCCAGTTTGACGACCTACTGACCCGCATTGGCGCTAGGATCTCCTACCAGGACACCAACTACAGGCGCTCTATTCCAGCTGAAGAGCGCCTGTCCATCTGTCTGCGGTTAGTGTTTTTTACCCCATTCAGAATTCCTAAATACTTACAAAGTGTGTCATTTTTCAATCACAATCCACAATGTAATAGCTCAGAAAACAGCATTATGCAACAATATGGTGTCTATGATTACTGTCTATGATGTTTACTGTCTACTAGTTTAACGTATTTTATGCTACACAAGTTTTGTCACATGATTTTTATGAATGTAATTGTGATAAATATGTTCATATCATTTTGTAATTGCAGGTTTCTTGCCACTGGGGACTCCTACAGGACCATTGCGGGGAGCTTCAGAGCGGGCATATCCACCGTCTCCATGCTCATCCCAGATGTGGTGGCAGCCATCTGGGACTGCCTCGTGGAGGAGTTCATGGCTGTGCCTGGAGCAGAGGAGTGGAGGTCCGATGGAACTTCCCTCTGTGCTGTGGGGCCATTGATGGGAAGCATGTGGCTGTGAAGGCACCCCCCAACTCTGGGTCCATGTTTTTTAATTACAAGGGGCACCATTCCCTTGTGTTCCTGGCTGTAGTGGATGCCCAGTACAGGTTCAGGGTGATTGATGTGGGAGGGTACGGCAGATCCAGCGATGGAGGCATCATGGCCAACTCTGCCTTTGGTGAGGCTCTGCGCGAGGGCACACTCGACCTGCCTCCTGACCAGTGCATACCTGGAACTGACCACAGAGGACCCCAGCCCCATGTGTTTGTGGCAGATGAAGCCTTTCCACTGCGCCGCAATTTAATGCGCCCTGCCCATCTCCAGCCATGAGGATGGCTGGAGATGGGCAGGTTCCTGCACCGAGGGGAGCTGCTGCCGGTGAAGAACCACTTCCAGGCGTGCAGCGGAGGGCCGCCTGGAAGCCAGCAGTGGACATAAGGAAAGTGTTCATGGCCCACTTCAGTGAGGAGGGAGCACTGCCGTGGCAGCCCACAGAGTAGTCATGTCCACCACAAGACTGACCCACAACGGCTCTTTTCAGAGCCACCCACAAAATACAAAGAGCCTAACTTCATTCCTAACATATAATGTGCTGAGCCTCTTGAATATGAAATTCTTTACATTTTTTCTGGCCATATTCCAAACCCATATTGATTTGCACTATTCTATTCACCTGTATACCTTCTGTTTCTAGGTAATGACTGCCAGACTCCACTGCAACTTCAGGTTAATCATATGCACATTCAAGCTTTTCCGTAATTACAAGGTTGTTAAAACAGTAAAAGGTGAAATGAATAAAAAATACTGTCAACTACTGTATCGCTCTTTAAGTGTTCGTTATTCCATCTTCTATAAAACCCAGTCAGCTCTTATAAAAGTAAATGTACAAATATAGAATAGCATTTTCTGTCAATATTATATGAAAGGTAGTAATGGTTGGCTTGAAGTAGAACACATGAGGTTTGAAAAATATTTTCTTTATAAAAAAAGGAACAAACAATGAAAAATAAATTAAATGTACATATAAACAAATGAAAAGGAGCTTGCTTGGAGGAGGTGCGGTGGAAGAGGAAAGGGACACATGTCTGTTTCCTCCCCTGCAAAAGGTGTCACCTTAGGTAAAAAAACTATTCTATTCTGGCCAATGGTTCCAAATTAAGCAGAACGGTGCTGCTTTCATATAAAAGTTGGTACATTTTGAATTTCACAAATTCTTTTGACTCTGGTGCCACCTTTGCAGGAGAGGAAAGAGAGAGAGCAGGAACTGATGGTCTTCTGTGTAGTGGGGCGGTCCGGCTGCTTTGGTCCGTAGAGTCTCCAGCAGCTCCCGCTCCCACTCTGAAGGCCCACCAAGGAAGAGGGCTCGGAAGAGGCCCACGTCCGTAGAGCCGCCAACAAAGAACACAGGGCAATCACAGTGTTAAAAAGTGGAACATGTATTTCAAAAAAGCAAAATGAAGAGAGCAAATAATATCTGTATTAAAGCCAGAGTGTGTAGACATAGTTAAACACATGTAAAACACTTTTAAGTTGTGTGTTTGTGTTACAATTAACTTGAACATTGCAGTTATCAATGAAATTACTCACACAAGCACAAATTTCGACAGTTACAAACTAATATCTCTGAAGTGTATTTCGCAATGAAATTTGAAATTGGCTGTTAAAAAAGTAATACTCTATTGTCCGCATTAAACAGGATAGCTGCCATCTTGTGGCAACCATTGCATGTATTTGTTCAGTACTTTTATAGCATAAGGTATTTCAGTAGTATGTTTTTATCGAAGAAAGAGGGAAGATGTGTTGTATCAGACCAAAGCTTCTTTCCACCTGTAGTGCCTTGACATCTTGGTGTTTCTCTGTAAATTTGTCGTCTACACTGATGTAACAGCCCTTGGGTAATTTTGGCATATTATGCAGTAACATTTTGTTTATATGAACAGTCCTGTAATAAGAATAAAAATAAAACAATGATTAAAAAAAGCCACACCTGTAGGTGCAGAAGCAGGGGAAGGTCCAGCCCTCACAGAAGAAGAACCGGCTGAGGAAGAAGAAGCAGCAGCAGCAGCAGCAGCAGCAGGCAGCTCAGGCAGCTCAGGCCAAGATGTCTCACCTTGTGTGGTGGTGGCAGTATCTGTGCCAGAAGAAAACAAGAAATACAATTATTTCATATCATGTGTACATTGCGCTTATGACATTTATATGTACATAATAATGTACATTATTATTTACATTTAAAGATTTGTTCATATGAAAGGGAAAAGTGAAATTTAACACAACACATGATCAAGATCAATCCTGGTTTGAAAATAGCCAATGCCTATTTTCACCTGGCCATGATGTTAAGAAAGCATTAAAAGAAATGCATACACAGAAAGCAATATAAATGTAAAAGTCAGCAAAATGTGGGTAATAGAAAGGAAAGAAATGTATTTTTTCCAACTGTTCGAGGTCTCTGTTTGCTGCATGACACCGACCTTCAGCACCTGACAGCCCTGCTGCTGCTGCTTCCTCTGGCTCTTCTTCTGGGTGGTTGTACCCTGTGGTCTGCTCCTCCTCGGCCCTTCGCCTTGGCATGTTCCCGGAGCTGTCACGGGGAGTGATGTAGGGCTCGAGGAAGGACATGACCACAAGGTACTTCCACGTCTGGCCTTTCCCTGCTTCTGCACCACTCTTCTTCACCTTCTCCTTCTCCTTCCTGCTCTCCTTAGCATATGTGTCCCTCAGATGCTTCCACCGCTTTTTGCAAACTTCCACTGAATAAACACATCAACTCGTAAGCAGGAAAGTAGTAGTTTTTTTCGCGGGGAAATATTTACAACAGTGAAAAGTTAAAATAACTTACCCGAGACACCAACCACCTCGCTAACCCTCCTCCAAGCAAGCTCCTTTTTATTTCGGTCCCGGTAGCTGTGGTCCGCAGTGTTATATAGCTCAGAATGAGCACCGACCTGAGCAATTGACGTGTTCTCCATAGCTGTCATCTACTAGTGTTTTTCCGGTAGTGAAATGCGTCACTACGTCACTGTAGGAGAAAGCTCCTGATTGGTCGGCACACGCGAATTCTCCCAAAAAGTTCAACATTGTTCAACTCTAGCGGCGGCCGCGTTGGAAGCACGAATCGCGCGAAACGCGCGTCAAAACGCTTGACGTCAAAACGCTTGACATCTCAAAACTCGCCGCGCGAATCGCGCGAAACGCTCGAATTCGCGCCGCTCTGGCCGCGCGAATCGCGCCGCGTGATCTCTCGCCGCTCCTTGGCGCGCGTCCCCCATGTTGTGTCAATGTAGACCCGCCGCTTTGGCCGCAGAAATCGCGTTTGGTCTGAACGCACCATTAAGGTAAACGCTGTCAGTGGCTTCGATTGAAAATAATGACCTCACAAAGAGGTCCACTTGGCTTGCCGGAGGGTCTGTAGGGCAGCAGAAGAAACACAGACGTCCCACCTCTTCTCAAAAAGCAGCCGGCTTCGTTGGAGGTTTATAATAAATAGTTCATCAACACAATGCTCCATTTTTGAGTCACATTCAAGAATATCTGCTAGCTTTCTGAGGCTATGGCCGAGTTTGAGGGCCAAGGATGGAGTTTCCTCATCATATCCAGCCACAGACCTGACTGCATCAATCACATGGTTAAAGTTGGAAGGAATAAAGAAATCCTTAATTGTTTTCAGTTTCCCTGCCGTTTTTGCTTCGTTAATTAACCTACCGACTTCTCTCATTTTCTGCCTAATGTAATCATGCTTAGTCTTATCATGCCCGTGTTTTAAGTACAGGTGCTCTCCGAGTCTCAGAATCCCCTTTTCTGCTTTGACAACACCTGTGACCTCATCCTGATGCATTGCCCAAATTAAAGACCACAGCTTTCTGCTGATGCCCTCCGGTACAGGCTTCTACCTGGTTTAGAAGAAGGGAAAGTACCCTAAATTAGGGCAAAAAGCAGGTCAAGTTAGGGAAAAAAATATATATATATACAGTATATACATTTGTTATATAAATAAAGATGACTTACTTCTGCTGTCTGTGCTGCTGTGCCCAGGCCTGACGGAGCTCTCCCACACCATGACGTCTCCCGCCTGCGTGGAGCCATTCCTCCCCGGACACTTTGAGCAGTTTGAGCTGAAAGCCAACGGGAAAGTGCAGTCAGTTCAGATGGAGGCGTTTCACTGCTGCACACAGGAGCCGGCTCATGCTCTCTACGACTCCGTGGAGAGACTGACAACAAGTACGACCTCTTCTATCTATTCTTTAGTCCTCTTGAAGGAAGGCGTGTCCAAACCAGTCCTGAAAGGGTCAGTGTGCCTGCAGGTTTTCTATCAGCAGGAGCACTGGACTGACCTGACTTGCTCTGCTCCTGCTTGGTCTGATAGAAAACCTGCAGCCACATCGGCCCTTTCTGGACCGGTTTGGACACGCCTGTCTTAAGTTAAAGGTGATGTCTGCAGCTTAAATTGTATTTCACGTTAACCATATGGCCTTGTAGTATCATCTATAATACGTGTTTTTAATCATTTAAGATTAAGATGAAGAGATCCTTTATTCGTCCCACAGTGGGGAAATGTCAGTGTTGCATCACCAGTTACAGAACAGAAGGAATGAGGAGCACACAGCCCAAGATAAATAAACTATAACTCTATACTAAAATAAAAGTATAAAATCACAAACTTTAGCATAGTAAAAAAAGAAAGTATAACATCTAAAACTTTAACATGATAAAGAAGCATGTTTAAAATCTATAACTTGACACTTTATTCTAATAAAGAAGTAAGTATGAATCTCTAACTAACAAAAGAAACATGCAAGCATAAAATAATTCCTCCCCTTGGAATAAGCATCACCAGTGGGATTAGCTGGAGGAGAATAGACCAATGGGGAGGTCTCATCTGTCTATCAAGGATTTGAATTCATTGTGTCCAATCAGGAAGCTCTGGGGGCGGGTCTACAGTATCTGCCGCTCGCATTCGACAAACGTCTCTCCATCTTCACAATTTCAAAAGTAACTGACCATCTCTTTAATTATCTGAATTAAGATTAAGATTAGGAGATCCTTTATTTGTCCCACAGTGAGGAAATTTCAAAGTTGAATCTGCTCATGAAGTAATAATAATAATAATACATTTTATTTATATGGCTCCTTGGATACCTCAAAGTGCTACTGATGAACAAAGTCAACAAAAAAGTAAACAAAGCAAAGTACATGTAATTTCAGAGAAAAAAACAACATTTATAATAATCATGTTCAGGTTTTGACGAGGAGACGGTAAAGGCGAACATCAGAGCTCTGTTTGAGAACGCGGTGAGGAAGCGGCTCATGTCTCACCGCCGGATCGGGTGCCTGCTCTCAGGTATGTTCTGTCGAGGCACGTGGAGCAAACATGGTAAAATACAAACGTTGACTGTTCCAAGGTCAAGGGTATGGACGAAAGGTGACCGAGCCTTCTCAGTCTGGGCTCCTCGACTTTGAAACAACCTGCCCGAGGAGATAAGGCTCGCACCATCAGTATCCTCTCACTTCTTATAACTTGCTTTTATCAAATTGCCTTCCCATAACCGTCTGTTTTAAACTCTACATGTATTTCCCTCTTCCATATTGTGTTTGTTTTGTCTTTCTTGTTGTTTGTCTGCTTTAATCTCCTGTATTTCTTGTTATTCTTGAAATACACTTACAGTATCTTGTGTAGTTCTATGTTATATTATTACGACTGTTTTGTTTTCATTGCTTTTTGCTGATTGTGAAGTGCTTTGTAAACACTGTTTTTGAAAAGTTCTACACAAATAAACATTCATTATTTATTATTATTATAATGTTAGTCTTTGTGGCTCAGGCGGCCTGGACTCCAGCCTGGTCGCAGCCACATTGGTGAAGCTGGCCAAAGAGGACAAGCTGCAGTACCCCGTCCAGACGTTCTCCATCGGCTCCGACGACAGCCCTGACATTTTGGCAGCGCGCAAGGTCACATGACATTACGTATTTGTTTCATTATGATCTAGAATTAAGCTTAAAAAGATGAAACTGCATGGCCTTAAGTTATCCTTTACATGTTTTGAATGATAAACATGTTGTACCTCGTTGTGAGGCTCAGGATCTTTGGAATCTCTTTGTTTGACTGAACATACACTTATTTTTGATTGTTTGACACTACTGCAAACCTTTCCCTTCGAGAACAACTTTTTTCAGGAAAACACTGGCAGAGAGCTACTCCTTTTATACAGTCAACAAAATGTTGTTCTAAAACGGATGAAGTAGTTTTTTATCTTGATTTGAAAACATTTAGACATTCTTAAAACAATGGAACAACCAGGCTTAGTTCTATTTCGGTGCATAGCACTGAATGTCCCCTGCGCATTCAGTGCTCTGCACCGCCCTCTGGCGGTCATCTGGGATTCATAGAACCGTGGTTATATATTTATTTTGTTTTATTTCCAGATGAGATGCAAATGTATTGCGTGTTCTATTGGCAAATCCTGTTACAAGTCCGTCAAAATGTAAACATAAAAAATCTTTCAATTATTTTTTGATATTTACTCCTAAAATGATCCTTTGGTAGCTAAGGGTAGCTCCCAAACATCTCTCATTCAGCCTGCTCCATCAAACGCTCAGAACAGCTACAAATCCACTCCATCTGGTACACTAAAGTGAACAACTTGCTAAAAAGTGTGGACACCTCTGTTCTAGTCAGACAATTGCATTAGTGAGCTGTATTTACCTGACACTCTTCAGAACTGTGGCTTGGGCTGATGCTAAATTGGTGGTGGTCTATTAGGCTGCCCCCTGGTGGTCTCTGGAGAAGGGTGTTTTATGTGAGAAGAGCCTATGTGACATTGATGAATATTTTTTGTGTGAAATAAAATTGTGAATATGGATGCTTGCAGGTTGCAGCGCACATCGGCAGTGAACACCACGAGGTGAACTTCTCTGTGGAAGAGGGGATCCAGGCTGTAGAAGAAGTCATCTATCACCTGGAGACCTACGACATCACCACAATTCGGGCCTCTGTGGGTGTGTGAACTTTAGCTCTCCTCATGAAAGACTAGAGATGCACCCATTTGTGCCCGACTTCATTTCTCTGACAATGGCAGATTTTCTCTTGATTTGGAGAAGTTGCAATAAAAGTGGTTGGTGCTACAGATATTCTGATCATTTGCTAATTCGCTAGTTAGCAGTTTGAAAAACACCAATAAATGTTTTATTTGTGTAAATCGTTATTTAGTTAATTGTTTAAGGTTAATCATGTGTTGTAAGTAAATCATTTGTTTGTTTTCCTGAAAATTGTCTTGAAAATGAGTTATAACAAGCCATGGAAGCATACCAGCCAGGTGGGACGAGGTTTTTGGCCTCAAATGTGCTGTTGTTGCAGGTATGTACCTATTGTCCAAGTACATCCGGCAGAAGACCGACAGCGTGGTCATCTTCTCTGGGGAGGGCTCTGACGAACTGGCCCAGGGATACATCTACTTCCACAAGGTGCTCCCATGTTTATCTATATTCATCTTATTGTAACCGCTGCAGAGAATTGTAATGAAATATGATCCTTTCTGCCTTTATTATTATATTTATTCAATGGATATTCTACAGAAAGAGAAAGAAAGATTCATATTATAAAGACGAAAGTCTTTATAATATTAGACTCGGTCAGGGCACAAAAGAGAGAGTGCCGGAGGGCCGAGCGGAAGTGGCACAAGTCCAACCTCCAGGTTGATTACGAGATCTTCAAAGATAAGTTGTGCGAGTTTAACCGGGTGCTACGTAGTACGAGAGAAAGGTATTTTTCTGAAATGATTGAAGGCTGCAACAATCTGCGTGTTCTGTTTTCAACAGTTAATAGATTAACAAACCCCCCTGTTCAGATGCCATTAGAGCTAACTTCCAAACGTAAATGCAATGAGTTTGCTAATTTTTTCAGTGACAAAGTTCAATGCATCAAAAACGCCATTGTCTCCAATCCACAGATAACAATCCAACAGCCAGAAAGGCTCTCTGAGCTAACTCACTTTGCACCTGTAGATGATAAAACTGTCCAAGAGATAATCTCCAGTTTGAGCTCCTCCACATGCAGCCTGGATGTACTACCCACTAGATTTCTGAAGTCTGTTCTGAGCAGTCTGTTACCTTCACTCACACAGATAGTAAACATGTCCCTTCATTCTGGAATATTCCCAAAGGCCCTGAAAACTGCAGTCATCAGGCCCCTGCTAAAAAAGAGCAGCCTGGATGCTACGGTACTTAACAACTATCGTCCCATCTCATCTGCCATTTATGGGGAAAGTCCTTGAAAAAATTGTCTACCAACAGCTTACTAGATTTCTTATAATCAACAACTCATTTGATATGTTTCAGTCCGGCTTTAGACCCCACCACAGCACTGAGACTGCTCTCGTTAAGGTTACAAACGATATCCGGCTGAACACTGACGCAGGCCAAGTCTCAATCCTAATCCTGTTAGATCTGAGTGCTGCCTTTGACACTGTCGACCATGAGATCCTCTTACAGAGACTAGAGGACTGGGTTGGCGTCACTGGCACCGCCCTAAGTTGGTTTAGGTCTTACCTTGAAGACAGGAAGTACTTTGTGGAGATTGGAAACTGTGTCTCAGATCATATGGCCCTGACCTGTGGAGTCCCACAGGGGTCGATCCTGGGACCTCTTCTGTTCAATCTCTACATGCTGCCGTTAGGTCAGTTAATACGCAGAAACAAAGTTTCCTATCATAACTATGCAGACAACACTCAGATCTATGTCTCACTGACTGCAGGAGAACATGGACCAGTGGACTCACTCCTTCACTGTATCCAACAGATCAGTGAGTGGATGCAAAACAACTTCCTTCAGCTAAACGCAGACAAAACTGAAATGATTGTCTTTGGTCCCCAGAAACAAAGAGAGAGCGTCATCTGTCACCTCCAGTCTCTCTCCCTAAAACCTTCAAACAAGGTCAGAAATCTAGGGGTAATACTGGACTCAGACTTAAATTTTAATTGCCACATCAAATCAATAACATCAGCAGCTTTTTACCATCTAAAAAACATTGCCAGGATCAAAAACATAGTGTCTAAAGCAGACCTGGAGATTCTTATCCATGCATTTGTCTCCAGTAGGTTAGACTACTGCAATGGCCTGCTCACAGGTCTGTCCAAACAGGCTGTAAAACAGCTGCAGTACATTCAAAATGCAGCATGCTTGCTACCATGGCAACACACAAAGTTAGTATTCGCCTAAAATGACTTTCTTTTAATGAATCTGGTAAAAAACTGTCAGAAATTAGCATTAGCCTAACTTTCAGAATTTTGTATTAGCCTGTCAGAAGTTAGCCCAACTAGCCTAACTGTCAGTAGTTGGCATAAGCCTAAAAATGTCTTTCTTTTTAATGAATCTGGTGAGAATGGTTGGAGGAATTTCTCAGAATTCCATCAGTTTCAATGGGAGCAGTCTAAATGACAGCTGTGTGGAGTTCTAATAGTTTCAGAATTCAGGGAGTCTTCTTTGGTATAGTTTGGAAAAGTTTGTTTCCCAAGAAATATTTATGAAGAAAAACTAAATGTGAAAAAAGCATCAGGGACTGCTGTTTGGAGCAACTTTTGCCACATTCTTACAAGTGTTGAATTCTGTGGAATGTTTTTTAGTGTTTAAAAGTGCGCATATAAAAAACTACTTATGAACTGGACTCAAAAGCAGCTTCAGGCTTCACACTGGATTGGTGTTATTGTTTCACAAATCAAATAGTGAACAAGTGCCTTTTATTAGTCCCATTGTGGGGACATGACTAAGACCACCCAGCATGTTGAGAAGGCAACACAATCATCTTTCAGGTTACCCCTGAAATTCTTGATGTTATTATTGGGGGACATTAAAATCCAGACTTGACAAGATAAAAGCACTTCAACACTAATAAGTGGGAACTCAGTAACTCAAGTTTCCAAGGACTTTATCCACTCTGCATTATTCATGATTCTGAAACCCATTAAAAGCACATTACACAGTGAGGCAGACATCGTGTTCTCTGCCTGTGTCCTAAAGTTTGGCCCTGAACAGAGAAAAGGCATGGTCAACTGCTTTTGAGGCTTTTGGGACAATGATTTGGACCCTCTTCGACCTGAGCAGACCCACGTAGGGAACAGTGGCCTGTCCACCGAGCATTACAAATACACATTTGAAAATCAAAGCAAAACGAATTGTGGAAAATGTCTCCTAATATAAGTTTATTCTTAAGAAACTTGGTCTTGTTGTCGACAGAGGTATTCAAAATGTGCTCAAATGAAGGTACATTTTGCCAAATCTGATCATTTTTTACTTAATTTTCATCACTTTTTGCAATGTTGAGCTGTAATAATGTGTTATGTCTTGGGTCCCGCAGGCTCCCAGCGCCAGGGCGGGCTCAGAGGACAGTGTGCGTCTGCTGAAGGAGCTCTACCTGTTTGACGTGCTCCGAGCCGACCGCACCACTGCTGCACACGGGTGATTCACTGCTGTGTTCTCCTACATCAACAGCAGATGGCGCTGTCCAATCACTTTACTGCTGTTCTGTGATACACAACTATAACTAAATATAAATGCAATTAGACATTAGTCATGCCTTTCAGAGAAAAAAAATAAATATACATTTTATCTTTCAGTGTAGCGTGATAATTCAGAATTATACAAAATGTACTTTTATTAATAATGCATCGGTGTTATATAGTGCTTTCCAGGACACTCAGAGAGGCTTTACATATTTGCATTAGTCTTTCCCTCCATACACGGTGGTGATTAACTTCTACTGTAGCCACAGCTGCCCAGGTGCCCTACTTTGGCACCGGGTGTTCCGTGAGGTCTCCCATCACAGTACTAACCAGGCCCTGCCTGCAGCTTCAGAGGTTTGCCGTGATCTGACTTTTCGCATGCTTTCAAGACCCATTTCCTGTTGGGGATGAACAAAGTTATTCTAAGATTGCGTCATGTAATATCATAACATACCAAATTGCTTCTAGTTTAACATTGTGGTGGAGGGCAGCAGAATTTCTTTTCCTGGTAACTTTGTTGTCAAAAGTCTCTTAAAAGCGACATATTGAAATGAATTGCTGCTCTCCCACCAATCTTTTTATGCACTTTTTCCCCTGATTTTAGTATTACCTCAATCTGTCAGATGGTGTGCTGATTCTGTAGTGTTGTGCAAGCTTTTGTAAGAAAGAAAAATCTGCTGCTCGCCAACATCATCGGAGCGAGGCCTGCTGAGTCACCACGGTTACTGCGACACGTATAATAAATAATGTGTATTATATATTCTCCTCATCAGCTAAAGTGCTGCTTCCTTTTATTACATTGACATTTCTAATGAATTCTAATGTATTTAATATTTATTGACAATCCATAAGTTGTCAGTACAGTACAAAAAATACACAGGGAATTTAAATCAAAAACACCAGCAAGCATCTTCTTGGTTCTGTTTTATGGTTTGATAAAATGATGTGTTTGAACTAGTGCTGTCCAAAATATCGCGTCATTAACGCGTTAACGCAAATCAATATTAACGGCGTCATTTTTTTTATCGCGCGATTAATGTTTTTTTTTTTTTTTTTTACTTTTTATTGCAGACAAACACATATACAGAAAAAAAAATAGAAACAAAGAAAAGGACTAGTTCAGATACATTGTAGACAGAGATTACAAACAATATGTAGTTGGAGATACAGGGGGCCAAAGAAGAAACCCAGAAGGGCACATAGGAGAAGTGTTGTGCGTGAACGAGTTCAAAAGAACGCGTTCATTGAACACGCTCATTTTTTCGTGAACATTGAACTGAACGCAACACATTTTTAAAAAAAGAACTTGAACGTGAATTAGTTTATTTTATGTGTCATGAACGGCAGACATCACTATGAACGTTGGAATCTGTTTTCTCTTTTAAAACGCAACGAGAGAAAGTTCCTCCCTCCTGTATTCTCGCACTTTTTCCGCCGAAATCTAAACATTCCTACGGTTTCCACCGTCTGTGAACGCACCCTGACTCCGTGTTGTGGTATATACAGTCTATGGTTACGGTGCGGCGCTGTGAGCTGGTGCTTTTCACATGTGCCCGAGTTGTGATGAAAACACAGGGTGAGTTAGCGACAAAGTTTACACCGTTTACATTTGACATAAAGTATAGACACACGCACTGCAGCGCATTACTGTCTGTAGTTTATGAGCAGAGATGGAGCAACTCCGTTTTGCTCCCATTGAAAACCATGTAAATCTGGTCTGTTTTGTAGTCAAAAGGCTCTCCTCCTGTGGGTGTACAGGAGATATATATATATATAGCTCGTAGTGTGAAAAAAATATGTATTTATCTCACGAAAAAAGTAAAATGAACTGAACTTTGAACTAGTTCAGAATTAAAATGGTGAACTTTGAACGTGTTCTGTTCACTTTGAGCATGTATGAACTGAACTTGAACTAGTTCAGAAAAGCTGTGAACTGGCACAACACTGCATAGGAGGGGGGGGTTAATAAAAAAGGCAATACAAGCAAACAGTAAACAGTCATAGATATACCGAAAGTAAACAGAGAAACAGCATAGAGTATTCACGTGAACAAATTTACAAAATATTTACAGATTGTTTATCATCATTATGACACCATGATGTTTCTATACAGTCTATGGTCACACACACACCCACGCACACCCACGCACACACACACCCACACAAATGTGTGACTAATTTGCGATTAATCGCGAGTTAACTATGAAATTCATGTGATTAATCGCGATTAAATATTTTAATTGTTGGACAGCACTAACACTGTTTGAACATAACAACGAGGGTCAATTATGAGTTTTTATTACCACCACCGCCAGCATTCTACAATAATGTTTCCCCCAATTATTTGCTGCAACATGCAAATCACTTTTGGCCAGATTCCGTCAGACCTCTGTAGCTAAGCAGGGCAAGACCTGGTTAGTACTGTGATGGGAGACCTCTGGGAACACCAGGTGCCTTCCCCCACATAATCCAGTATGAGTCTGGTCTGTGTGTGATCGGTTGGTGGTGATCGGAGGGGTGGATGGCACTTACTGGTTGCCTTACTTCTGTCAGTGTGCCTCAGGGCAGCTGTAGCTACAGTAGTAGTTTTGTATTGAGTGAATGAATAATGCAGGGAAGTGTCCAAAAGGCGTTATATGAAACTGATGCATCAATGTTATTATTATTGCGGCTTGCCTCATTCCCAGTTTTCATACACAGCATGCCGAGAATTAAAAGCTGTTATTTTCTCCGATGCGAACACAACATTAATGCTCAGCACCTGTCCCCAGCCTGGAGCTGCGAGTGCCCTTCCTGGACCACCGGCTGACGGCGTACTACCTGTCCCTGCCTGAGGAGATGAGGGCCCCCCGGGTGAGTGGATTTACCGCTGCTGTCCATGCGTTATGTACGGAGCCTATTAAACCTCTGTGTGGTCCACAGAGCGGCGTGGAGAAGCACCTGCTCCGGGACTCCTTCAAAGGCCTGGACCTGATCCCTGAGGAGATCCTGTGGAGACGCAAGGAGGCCTTCAGTGACGGCCTCATGTCCCTCAAGAAGTCCTGGTACACGTGTCTGCAGGAGCACCTGGAGGAAGTGGTAGGGACTGTCTCAAAACACGACAAACGTGTGTGGTTGCCACGGGTTATGGGGAGGCTGAGGGCATTTACCGTTGAAAGAAATAGATATATTCCCCACTGATTGTTCCAGTAAATGTGTTTTCTACTTTTCAATTGAATTCAATACACTTCAATTATTTTTGTACACAAACGGTCACATACAAACACAAAACAAATGTTCTCTAACCACCGAAGTATGAGGAAAGTCTGGAATCATCACAGCTGTTGCTCCTGTAGAAATGTACCAGAGCCAAAGTGCCTGACTCTGATAAAAAGTGACGCAGATTAGATGCTGCTCATTTGCATAGGCTCAGGACGGCACGCCCACCGCTCCAAACAAGCGGAACACAACGCAGAGATCCGGAAGACATGTGCATCAGCTTCAGTGGGGTCCGAGTGGAATCACAACCAAGGAACATTCCAGATGAACACATGCATAAAAGCGCTTCATTATGGAGCGAACCCTTTTATGGTCAGAGGCGTTGGGCTTGACGCCTTTCCCAGCCTCTGTTCTTAAGGCTGTGTGAGATTCAAAAATAGGCATCCAACTTTATTTATTAGGGCTGATGAAGACTTGGACTGAACAGAATCATGAATAAGAGCATTTGCTTTAGTTTTTTTTTCTTTGTGCACATGATGCGTAATAATGGAAACGGAGTACATTCAGAGGTGCAGGTGGCGCTGCACATAATTGAATTTTACAGCAGGTATTAATATTGTGGAACTACAATCTACCATCATAACTGACCATATATGGACGTTTCCTCTCACTTCTGTTTGTATTTCATGTTTGTGTTTTTGTCGGTTCAGGAATCCTTCATGTCAAAAGAGATTCTCTTTTAGAATCAACACATTTGAGTCACAGCTCTCAATAATTCATATATTTATGGTTTTACACTATTGTCACACGCACTCAAACATAGACACACACACACACACATACACAGACACACACAGACACAGAGACCAGCGCACATACACACAGAGACACACGCACATACTCACACAGACACACAGACACAGAAACACACACACACAAAGGCACACACAGACAGACACACGCACATACACACATACAGACCCACAAACACACGCACACACATGTTAATAATGTGTGTCTTGCTGCAGGTGAATGAGGAGCAGATGCAGAAGGCAGCGGAGACGTTCCCCCATAACCCCCCTCCCTCCAAAGAGGCGTACTTCTACAGGCAGGTGTTTGAGAAGCTGTACCCGGGGCGCGCTCAGTGGCTGTCCTACTTCTGGATGCCGCGCTGGACCAACGCCACCGACCCCTCGGCCCGCACCCTGAGCATCTACACGCCCGAGAAAGACCAGTGAAGCCCGTACTGCTGGACTCACACTCACACAATGTCACACATGTTTTCTTAGTTACAGGTGACGTTTACATACACACAAGTTTACCTGCTCTTGAACAAAAACTTTTGACATTTCCGGATATTTAGAACGTTCCGCGCTCCTTCGGGTGGATCAAGACATTTTAATGTCAAATGTCAAGATAATAGAATTATGATTTATTTCATCTTTTATTCATCAGAGAGTCCCAGGTTTACATAAACGTTGGGGGGAAAATCCATTCGGTTCAGTGTTGCGATATTTTGCACACGCAATTAAACCAATACAGAAGAACAAAGTATAGCTATATTTATATTCGTAGTTTCACTTTTGAGTTTTTACTCTGATTTACATCTGCTTGTTGTGACTCTAGTCTGTTGTATTTGAACAATGTAAGTGATGCTGGGAGCTCACTGTTCATGTGAGAGTTGTTTATTCAGAGAATGATGATGTCTTGTCTGTGATAAGGTCCTGTGTCCTGAATGTTTAAGGGTAATGTATTTGCACTGCCCTCCTCAGTGTTTGCACTTCACTTTATGTGCAGACCATCATAAATGTGACAGCAGCAGATTTTCCTCAATTGTAATGAATTGAGGAAATAATATGAAGGACATGACTTTCTATACAGTATATCACAGAATCAAATTGCAAACTGTAATGCTGCAATACTGTATCATCTCATGTTAAGAATCGCAATAATATTGAATTGTGTCCCAAATATCGCAATTCTATCAAATCTTTACATTTTTCCCTATTCCCAAAAATGGTTACATACAAACGGTTAATATTTGGTAGAATTGGTGGGAGCGGTTGGCTGTCCATTGGCTCTTTGCAGTCTGGCGCCACGCCTGTAGTTATGACTGCGGTAACAGAAGTACACAGTGGAATATATGGTGACTTTCCTTATGTCAAAAAGGGCTTCAGAGCCCGGTTCAAACACAGCCCTCGGCCGATCACTAAGCTCCACATGTGTGTCACCTGAGGGGAGAGAGTTGTTTAGCTGCTGTGCCCCAGCGCATGATGCTCCAGTCTCTCGCACAGGGTTCAGAAATTGCTTCTAGGGATAAACCAGACTTGTGGAAGTCCACAATCCGTCTCTTGGAGTCTTGGCTGGGTTATTTCCCATGACTGCAAAACACCTTAAATGCACTTTTACACAAACACAATGTCCAAATGTACATACATTCTGATGTTATGAAATAAATCATAATTTATTCCTGATATTTTGACATTTCACATGATTAAAATCATGTATTGATCCACCTGACCGAGCCTGGGAAGTTTTATTTGGATTATATTTGGCTAAGGTGTATGTAAACTTCCTCAGGTCTTACTAAAGAATACTTACTTTCCTCCACCCTCAGTCCACACAGACCTCTGATCATGTACTCACCCATGAGGGACTGAAAAATGACTAAAAAACTATGATCCTCAAAAGCGGACGCTAATTTGCTCTAAATTGAGTCGTTGTCCGCACAGAAATTGGACAAATAAATCATTCACTTCCTGAGGCACAAAATGAAACTGAGAAGAGTTACCATTTTAAACAACACACATGTTTTTTATTATGCAAATGTGAGGCTGTTGTAAACGACAAGCATAACATTCATTTATATTACTTTGGAGTTGGACTTTCTAAAAAGCTGCATGTTTTTGCCTTGACAAACACACTTACCTCATACCTCAGTGCATTCTTGCGACCCCACAACCGCAAAACAGGGAGAGTGAGGTATTCATTTCCATGTATTTGTGTATAGCCCTGAATCACAACAGTAGTTATCTCAGAACTTTACGAGCTGTCACCTCAGCACCACAGATCAGCAAGGAACAACTCTAAAAACCCAGTGGGAGAAAATGAGAAACCCACACAGAGGGAGAGATCTGCTCACACGGACACACATTCTCAAATGGAAACATGTGCAAATATTACTGTCTTCAATTCTAGAAATCTTTAGCACCTTCAGACCTGAGACTCAACTTTTTAATAAGAATTGGCACGCAACAAAAATGCCAATGCCAGTGGCGCGCTGACATCTGTTGAGTCAGTCCCATATGGACCTGGAGAAGGCAAGTGGGTGTCGGTGAGAATCTCTGGTTGGCTCGCTTCCTCCTATTCATCCATTATTCGAAATCCACCAAGACATTACGCTTTTCTTTACGATTCACGCTGATCATAATTTTACACACATTACAACACATTCCACGTGTTGTCTCTCCCTGCATCCCTTTAAAAGTTGGATTTACGGTTGACAGAAACAGACACTGATTAAATGACATAATTATGCCTTAGTATTGTACGACACTGTGTCTATAATGCTGCTAACAGAAAGTGAGTGTGTGTGCGTGTGCGGCCTAAACGTGATTACACAAGTGCTATCTTCAAAGGTCTAAACTTGATGAATTGTTCAGCTGTGATCTTACAGTTTCTCAAAGAGGCTGATTCAGAATAGGTCACTTACTGTTGACTAAAGCTTAGTCATCTCCCCAAATAGCCGTCTTCTCAATACAATCCCATATGTCCTGTCACCTTTTCCATTAACTAAGTAGTTCAACTTGTGTGTTTTGAACTGGAATAAATAATTTGGGATAATAAAAAAAGTTTCAACTTCTTTTTGGGCAATGGGGGATAGAGACGCAGCGTTCCAATAACATTTACATTGACTTTGTGCGTCACATGGGCAGTGATGTGAAGTGTTTACATATATTTGTATTAAATACATGTATGTATGATTTTTAGAATGGAGCTGAGGCAAGATCACTGTTACAGATTTTATGTCACATTTAATTTAACTCATGATCTTGTTTTTTCAACAAAAGTCAACTGTGGAAGAACAAAGCAAAAGTGTGTTTCACTTAAATATATATACTATATCCTGAGTTACTTTGAGTGTATTGTATCATTGTAATATTATGATATGTTGAATCATGGGAATACTTTTAAATAGATTACGTTACTTTTGGAAGCAGATTGTGAACAATGCCCACCATTATGTTGGAAAAATATCATGTCCTTGAGAAAGACAGTTTGTAATATAGTCTTAAGTTGTCCTTCTTTTGGTATATATCTGTTAGGCAATACATCATTTCCAGGGAATGAGGGTTTCTAGTGTCTTCCGACTCCTTCCTTTTGTAATTGTAATGGTGTTTTGTGCTTCAAAATGACCAAAACATGCTTAAAATAATCAATATTTTATACATAAGTATTGCCAGGGGCCACCATAACTTCATGGTTTTTTAGCTACACTACAGATTTTTAAGACTTTGATCGTTGGTCCATCACATCCCAATGTGTGTTGATTGTAAAAAGTACTGCTATTTTCCTTTTTTCACTATTACCAGTAAAGAGGAGGCTATAACAATCCTGTGTGTTTTGTTCATTGCGGATCGTGATGAGAACCCACTGAAACACTTCTTAAACTAATCCTTATTGCAACTTTACTTTCCCACCGCACACAAAACTCCTAATTATAAAACTCACACAAATGGAAGTTGAACAGGTAAAGAAAATAATTTTATTATTTGTCCAACCACTGACAGATTACACACAGATATCCTCATCTGAAGAAACATGACAGCGCTAATAAAGTCACTTAAAAGCCATAATTTAGTGTCAAACCGTACGGAACAAACAATTGTAATGAAACTTCTGAGGCACTAGACAGTGACTTTGGCAGTGCAATCTTCTCCAAACCCGGGTACAGCCTTGCTCTGATTCTCCACGACATTTATGGCATGATGGATGCTTCAAAAACAGTGACAGAAATACAAACATGAGTGGCGTCTTTCCCCCTTATGACGTCTTCCGTTTACTTTTCCACTTTCTGCTGGGGACAAATCATATCGGCACACGCACACAGCACTGCTACATCACTACCAAATGTAAACTGAATCTTTTTATAGGTCTAACAGCTATGCACAGGCTGGAGAAAACAAAATGGTTTCCCTCCCATGTTTTGGCGCCCAATGAGAAGCAGAGAGATGGCGGTCGTTTTTAGCGGCGGTTGTCGTAGTTTTGTATTGTGCTCCATTCATAAGAATCTGGAAGGAAAGCAGGAAAAGTGGATTATAGAAAGAGATTTTGGATGTTGATCTTATAAAAGTTTTATAATCTCAAAATTACCTGGTTCCTCTTCGCTTCGCTTCCCCATGAGGCCGACAAAAGAGTTGATTTTATGTCCTGGAGGAAGGCACGGGGAGAGGATTAGCACAATTAGCATTCATTTTTAACAAGCAAACTTTATCAACAAAGTATGAAGCCAGTTCGTGATCTGAAAATTCAGAAAGTGAACAAAGAAAGCAGAAGGTGACAAGTCTTCACTAGACTTTACTCTTTCTTTCAAACACATTTCAACAAAGTAGTAGTAGTGGTTTTCTTCAGCCATTATGAACATCAGATCTTAGGGAACATGTTTTCAAAGATCTTATACATTTTACAATAAGAACAAAATCGTGTAAATTAAGAATTTCACTGCGAAAGGCTGACTCACTTTTTGTTGACTTCACCAAACACAGCCTCTCGTTGTAAAGTTAAGGTCAAACGTCTTTTCCAATCACTTTTATTTTGCACAAAGGAGAAACCAGTTTTGAGTGGTGCTGCTCTGAAACCATCTGATCACTGGCTCGCATATAATTTAATGGACACTTGCAACTCAGATGAAAATGGCCGCTCTGTCGATCACGGTAATCAACTGTAATGTAATCAGGGAGATTAGATTGAGGGGCGTGGCTTAAATTCATCTGGATGTTTTGTTTTCTAGATTTGACTGGACTGGACCCCTAGTTTACAGCAGGTGTGTCAAACTCATTTTGTTCAGGGGTCGAATAATAAAAATAGGAACTGGTCGGGGGCCGAAAGAATAGAAGAGATTTTCTTTTCTTCTAATTATTTTTTTTGTTTACATTATGAAGGTATTTTGACATGACTTTTAGGAGTTATACTAATATTTTCTGGGTTGATTTTTCTGAAAACCAAATGTGTTTATTGTTTGGATTTAACCAAAACTGAAGCAAATACAAAGTTAAACACACTGTTTTTTATTTATTGTTAAAATTGCCTTTAACCATCAATGACTTGGTAGCTCATTAACATCAATGCTGCAAGTTAACAATAATAATTGAAAAACTAAAGATAAGTGTTGCGAACCTGAGTTTGCCCGGTCTTCTTTCTAAATTGGACTGGACTGGACTTCATAGTTTACTACTGGAATCTTCTCTCAGTAACGTCGAGAGACATTGTTGCTTTCACAATCCACTTCTGCTACTTGTGTCCTTCGCCAGCGTAAACAATCCAATTTCACCGCACGGATATCCTCAGGGGGGGCCTCATCTCGGGCCCTAATCGTGAGTGACTTATGATGGCGGCGGCGAGGGGCCAAGAAATGAGATGCAGACTTGTGCGCTGTTGCATCAAGGAGTGGGTGACGAATTTGTACGTGGAGGAAAACAAGTGATGAAAGAGGAGGAGGAGGGGGGAGAATCCCATCCTCCTCATTCGACTGTTTTATCCGCACTGGCCCCCCTCGCGCGCACACAAACGACTGTTCAAAAGACGCACAAAGAGAGCAATCATCTGCCTTTACTGTCAATGAATGAAGCACTGCCCACTGCTTCTGAGCTTCCGCTGCATTAAAAAGAACAGATTTGGACTTTAGCAGGAGGTGAGTCCCATTGTGTGGGCTTCAGTACAATAACGCTCTCCCCGGCAAGGAACTTTCATGTTGTAACTGCAGGTGAAAGACATTCTCCTCACAAGTAATTATCCACACATTCTGACATATGCAGGTATTATTGATTGCAGAGTGAGGCAGCTAATTGCAGTGGATGAAAATCAATAGTGAAATGCCATAAGCCAGGGCTTGATAACATTATTCCAAGTGAAAAACATTAGTATTTCTCTGTTAGGATTTAGGATTTTACTGTAAAAAGTCCCAAATGACTGTAAATGTAAAATTATGTTAAAATTAGGCTCAGGTTCTTGGTATAGGATTTAAAGTAGATACTGGATCGATGTACACTACACACTGTAAGATCTGTTCGTTTGCAGCCCTAACATAACTTTTTGCAACATATTTTCTTTGATAATTCAGTTCAATTAAATGTGTTCTTATATAGCCTTAAATCACTACAGTAGTTATCTCGGAGGACTTTACAAAACCGTCCAAATCGCCAAAACAGATCTGAGAATCCAATTAGATTAGTTGGATCTTTACAAGCGCCAAACCGTAATCCCCATCTATCCAATCGATCAAATATGTACAGACAGAACCTTTCCGTATTCTGAGATGCAATAAATTAAAGGGCTCGTCCATCGCATGCGTCCATTTCACGTCACCGCTTACGTCACTTTTCCCGACACCAACACACACTTTTTTTTATTTACAGTCCTCACGATATCTTAATTGTACATGACGTCACGAATAAATCACAGCGCCAATGACTCATCCGCCACGCCCCTTTTCCTCTGCCTCATTCTCGACTTCTGAGGTCTCCAACAAACATCACTTACTTTTGTGGGTGATCTGTGCGTTCGCCGCTGCGGAGAGAAAGGGCGAAGTTATCACCAAAGAAGGAGCACAAACCGTAATAAACAATTTTTATATGTGACTGTTTAATTACCCAGAGCTCGTTTCCCCATCAACCCTATGAACTGGTGCGGCCGAGGCTTTCTGGTCATCCTCATAAGGAATTCTCTGATGGGATAAGGGTTCCAGACGTCCTAGAAACGCAAGAAACAGTGATTAAGTTTGGGTGAATGTGGAAGCATATGGAGCCATTAGTTATGGCTTAAACAACGTCTTTTTAAATGACAGAGATGCCCCGTCGTGTTGCACTTAATCACTTTGAAAGATCATTTAATCTAGACAGACATATTTTTACACTGAGCAATAGAGAAAGAGAGAGTGAGAGATGGAGAGAAGACAGAGAGAGGAGAGAACGATAAGTAGAAGGAAAGAGAGACAGAGAAAAGATCAAGATAAATAGAGAGAGAGACACAGAGAAAGAGAGATTGAAAGAGGGAGAGAAGAGAGAGATAGAGAAAGAATGAGAGAATTAGGAAATAGAGAAAGAAGAGAGAGAAAGACAAAGAGAGACAGAGAAAATAGAGAGGAAGATAAATAGGGAGAGAGAGACAGTGAAAGAGATAGAGAGAGACAAAGATAGATGGAGAAAGAGGGAGAGAAGAGAGAGATAGAGCAAGAAAGAGAGTTTGAGGAGTGAGAGAGACAGGGGGAAAGAGAGTCAGAAGAGTGAAAGAGAAGAGAGTCCCGTTGCTGCGTCTGTTCTGCATGGGGAGATTTATGGTACTTTCATCCACAGAATGGAAGTGGCCAATAAGTTGAGAGTATTAGCAAAGAAGCTTGGCACAGTTCCAGGTTGCAAAGTCAAAGCGGTGGACGTGAGCCCGATGTCAATGGCCGTCTGCGAGTGTACGTATGGGCACTTAAGGCGTGATTCGATTAGCGATGGGTAAGCCTCTTGCGGAGCTCCGACACTCGTCATGTTAGATGGATGAGGATGTCATGGCAATGTTGGAGTAATACGATTTGGTTCATAATTGTAGGGAAAATCATTATGGACGTGAGAGGCAAATAGTGTTATTATTTGTAAAATACCGGAAAGTCCAAAGCGTCATAAAGATTTGCATTAAATATGTAATGTATTTTGTTGTCCGTGGTGAAAATAAATGAATAAAAATGTTTTGGTTAAGCGCATTGAGTTGCAGTACTGTATGAGATGTGCTATACAAATACATTTCATTCCTACCAAAAACCACTTTCGGTATTGGTCTTTTGGTCATTTAAAGTGGATGTATATAATTTAAAAATATTTAAAAAAAAAATAAACACAACCCAAAAGACTTCTTAAAGGTTTAACCATTTGTGAATCTCTATTACAATTGTGTATGTGGATAATTATTGTTTGAGAATATTTATTATATTTGCAGGCTTTAGATGGAGTGAAGATTTATGGGAAAATCCCTCTCTTTTTCTGTCTTTCTTTCTAAAAACTATATCAAAGCCAAAAAGTGCACCTTAAAAATAAAATAAGTTAAATGTGATCAATACAGTATTTATCCATCTATCTCTAAGAAAAAAAGAGATATAAAAATATAAATATCATTACTATAACAACGCTCAAAATGTAGCTAATATTGCAACATCTCTCTTGAGAATTAATTAAATATCAACCACTAAATTTGGCATCATTTGGCTTTCTAAGAACTAACCTGTACCTACCTGTATCTGGTTACTGCTCGTCCAGAAGTCTGCGTCTTCCCTGGGGTCGCTCTCCTCGCCATAAACTTGACATGTGGCAAAAACGGCCATCAAAAGTGGCAAAAGCAACAACTTCATGTCTGCTCGAGGTGCTTTTGGAGAGGTTGCGGAGGCTGTGGAGGCTGCAGAGGCGGAGGAAAGTGTCTGAAAGCCGGCTGGAGTGAGGCGGACTGACGGCGGTGGCGGCGGTGGCTCTGGTGGTGGTGGGGGTTGTGCTCGTGCTCTCCTCAGCAGTAGTCCATAGCGCGTGCGTCTCTGTTCCCGCCACTGTCCTGTCCTCGAGCCCTGCTGCACGCGCTCCTATTTAAGAGTCCCGCGCTGTTGCCTGGTTACGCCGTGCCTTTACGTGATGATGAGGATGATGGCACGAGGAGGTGAGCTGTCACGGACTTCAGCAACTTTTACGTAAACTCTTGTTGACGCACAGGCGGGAGCTGGCGTCGCGCTACTTTTCGTTTGTTTGTAGTAGTTGTGCTTCAAACTTTGTCCACCTAGGAAATAATGTCTTTACCTGATATCCCGTGAGACTTCTTTAAAGCAGAGCAGGGCCTGGTCAGTGCTGTGATGGGAAACTTTTGGAAACACCAGGTGCCACAGTGCTGTGGCTGTGGCTTTAAAGTGCCAAACTGATCCTCTCACTTTAGAATGAGTCCGGTGCCTGCAGGATGGTCGGAGGGGCTGATGGCACATACTGGTTGACTCTCTGTGAATGTAATATTTCATTATTATTAATTTAGATGCATATTGTATTATTATTATTATCATTATTAGTACAGCACTATTTTACTCCTGTTTGATTGCCAACTTTTGTCAGAGAGGGTGAGCGCGCTCTGTGTGTCTTGTGAATTAACCGGAGACTGACACTGTCCTGCTGTTTTGTTATTTATTGCAGAAGACTACGAGATACATACTTTGGGATGTGATTGAATAAGAGCGGTGAGCCACATGTAGCTCCTGAGCCACTGAGGCCCCTGGTGTATGACATCTATGACCGCTCAAAGTCATAGATGTGCCTGTCACAATAATTTCATGTTCTTTGCAAAAGTGGAGATATTTTTCCAATTTTATTAATTGAAGTTATCATTCTCGCTGTTTATTATCTGCATCCATTTCACGTCACTGCTTGCGCCACTTTTCCCGACATCAATACACACTTTTTTAAAAATTTATAGTCCCCAGATATCCTAATTGGAGATGACGTCACGAATAAATCACAGCGCCAATGACTCATCCGCCACGCCCCTTTTCCTCCGCCTCTCACGACTTCTGAGGTCTTCCAACAAACATCACTTACTTTTGTGGGTGATCTGTGCGTTCGCCGCTGCGGACAGAAAGGGCGAAATTATCACCAAAGAAGAAGCACAAATGTAATAAACAATTTATATGTGACGGTTTAATTACCGTCACATATAAAGGGGCTGAAGCACTCTCGCTTCTCAGCAAGAAGATCCTGGGTTTGAATCCCCGTCGGAACAGGGCCTTTCTGTGTGGAGTTTACATGTTCTCCCATGTGTTGGAGGTTTCCTCAGCTTAGTGCTCTGGTTTTCCCTACCACTAAAAATATGTACAATAGTTCAGGGTGTATGAGTGTGGGTTTGTGAGTGCGGCTGTGGGATAATCGATGGAAATTAGCCCAAGGCTACAATCCGGAGTGATGTGTTCATTAACATGTACGGTTCCAACCAAATACACAATAAAACTAAAACTTCATAATGTCAAAAAATCTACTCACACGCACGCACACACACACACTAAAATCACCCGTTGGTTATTCTTACATTTAAAAACAGTTCCCAAAAACACAAAAGCCTACTATTTCAACCATTTTTGTATTTCAATTAAAGAACTTTTTTTCCTTGAGGATGAACGTGAGAGCTCTGTTTGAAGAACAGCTGTAAAACACAATATTGCTTTACGTTTTCCATTACTGCAAAGTTTAATTAGACAGATGCCAACAATTGTTTGGACTGACAGCCTTTTTGATTACTGTCGGGAGTTCATTTGAATTTGACTTTATATGAAAGATAACTTTAGATTAGAGTTAAAGATGTTATGCTTATTTTTATTTTATCTTAGTATAAAGTTTTGTTCACTTTTCTTGTGTTGTGTGCTCCTCATTCCTACTGCTCTGTAACTGGTGATGCAACACTGTGGGGCAAATAAAGAAATAAAGATCTCTTAATGTTATTCTTAATTTCCTATTCTGTCTGAGGTTTACTCAAGTTTAGAAAAGGTTTTATTTTGTAACTCTTATTTTCCCCAACAACCCAAAACATTCTTTTAAAAGATAAACCAGGAGTAAACCCCTCCAGCTGTGACTCCGCTGCCCCAATCGCATTAGTCGAAGGATAAAATATGAATAAATGGTTCTAATAATTTGACTTTGCTTGTAAATATCTCCTAAGGCTGCATTTTCCAAACAGTTTGAAGAAAATCTAAGTGCATGTGCGCGCCCCGGTGACAGCCTATCAGAGCCCTGGATGAGGGAGAGAAAGAGGAACGGAGGTAAGTGTGACCTCTGTTCCACTCATTTCCATTAGAAAAGCTGTTTTTAAAAGAATGGCACAACAGAAGAATACACGGCTGAGTTCAAGTTTGACGTCCGCACGTCTCAACGATGCTTGGTTCACACGAGTGGCTCTCATCAAAATAGTACGTTTGCTTTATTTACCCATGTGCTACGGCAGATGTATGTGATTCAACAGTTTTACAGCAGATTCTGCCATGTGGTGAAATGAAAAAAGGAACCCAAAATGCGGGACTGAAAATAAAATTATTCAAATAAATCCAAGGTAACGCCAAAATACAAAAATACAGATCTGAAAAAAAAACAAGCCAGGAACAAAATTGTAGTATAGACAATGTACAGACCACACGTGCGGAAAAGCACAGGGAATAAATACACACAGGTAGAGACAGGTGAAACACACTAGGGCGGGGCAAATAACAGGAGACAGGAAGCAAACTCAAGCTACAAGAGAACAAATATTTAGCAAAATAATCAAAAAGTCCACACCATGACAGATTCTGTACATTGTGCCATTCTTTACTTTTGGATCTTTTTCACTCTCCACACGGCCTCAGTATCTGCCCAAGATTATGTCACTTGTCTTAAGGTCTCCACTTTACCTTTTCTCTTTGGTAAGTAAGTAATCTTTAGTAATCTTTATTTATATACCGCCTTTTCACTGCAGATCTGAGTCTCAAAGCGGTTTACAATTGTTAATTATGGGCATTTATCTCTCACTCCACACAGAGATGGGAGCAGGGTCGCCGGTACAGGAGGCGCATGCCAGACATGCCTATTGGACATATTTTTAGTGGTAGGGGAAACCGGAGTACCCGGAGGAAACCTACGCAGACACGGGGAGAACATGCAAACTCCACTCAGAAAGGCCCTGGTCCGACCGGGATTCGAACCCAGGTCCTTCTTGCTGAGAGTGCTATCTACTCAGCCACCGTGCCGCCCAGTATGGTATGCTGAAATCTGCCTTTGGACAATCAAATGTATATTTATTTATTTAGACTTTATTAAGGACTCATATGCAGGCACAGGATCTGTAGCAGTAACATGATAAAGGTATAAGGTGAAATTTCCTATTGTATAATACATCATTTCACTCAATTTTCTTCCGCTTGATCCGTTGCCGGCAGCAGTCAAAGCAGAGACCCCCTGTCTTCACACACTTCCTCCAGCTGTTATGATTTTGTATACAGTTGTTATTTCATGTTTTTATATATGAATATATATTAAGTATCTACACAAAGATACTGTAGGCCACACACAGCTCTTAGTCCTCCTTGTAATGGCCCCGTTGGTCTTGACAAAAAATATAAATGTGTTTTTTTTATTATTTCTATACATTATATAGAAGTTGTATCAAATGTTCTATATTGTTACAGTGCATGCTACCACAGTGATGATTCTGATTAAGTAAATGTCCATAAATGTATACATAGTTTCTGGCTTAGGGTTATAATGGTGAATGCCCAGATGTTGCCTTGTCTTCTTGGCAACATTTCTCTAGTTCCTATAAATTCCTGGGCTGCCTTCTATTGATCTCAAACATGCAATATTTCCTATTCCTATACCTAAAAAACTTGTGAGACGTGTGATACATGTTGATGGTTTTGACTCTTTCTCTTTGGCTGAAAAGGGAAAATCGACTGTTTTGAAACTAACATTTTCCGACCCCTGTGGTTTACAAATATGTCCTCTTGTATAATATAAATGTACTTTCAAACGGAATAAAGCCTGAAGTTGGTTAAATTCATATATAACGTTATGTTCCAGGGAAGACCCAGTGGTCCCGCAGCGTCTCCAGAGTCCGGAGTGGAATTTAATAATCTACAACTGTGACAGCTCATCCAATTAACAACCGGAAGGGGAGGTGAGAGAGCGCGGCTGCAGAGGACCACGTAGGAGGTAAAACAGCTCTTATTCAAGTCCAGGGACAATTAACAATGTTGCACAAAGGGAACACTGGATCAGGTCCTGGACAAACACCACGTATAGGACAATGGCTCTGCACCAAACTATTGTAAAACATCAACATTTGAAAGCAAGACGGGAGCTCGTCCAAATGCAGCGGCAGAGCATCAGGCTGACATGGGGCCAATAACTAATGCATGAGAGTCTGGGTACAGAGAACCCCAGGAGTAAACAGCGATTAACAATGAACCACTTTTCAATCATAGCAGTGTAGGATTGAAAACTGAATATTCTCATACAGGGCTGACAATCTCTGAGTTATATAGATAGATCAGCCATTCCCAAACTCAGTAACACCGAGGCCCCCTTAAAAATCTGACGGGTCTGCGTGGCCCCCCAAAATAATAACCAAGAAGACAACATTAAGAATAGGCTCTTCTGGTTATTTTATTTTGGGGAAATAGCCTCTGCTACAAACATTGTAATACAAAAATGATTACAGTGGATTATTCAAGTCAAATAATGAACACAAATATTTTAATATTACAAACACAACATTATAAATTTAACATTAAATAATTATATTATTTTTTTATTTTTTTTATGACCTCCCGCGGCCCCCCTGCAGTACCCTTGCGGCCCACCA